ATTAAATTAAAAATCTGTTGAATTTAATTGGATGTCTATTTATATAAAGTGGATGATGTTATTCTCTTCTATTTACTTCTAAATTCTCCAATTCGCCATGTCAGCACTTTATTTAATTTATTATATTTTTTCTTTATAATATTTTAATTTCATAATAATTAGCATTCATTACTATAATAATTTAACAAGAATATGAAAAGTCATTTTAAAAAAGAGAAGATTATGTATAGATCTACAAAAACTATTATTTAGTAAATTTATTTTTGTTAGATTATATAATTTACGTTGATGTCAAGATATTATATAAAGAACACTGTTTTTTAAGTATTTTGGGATGAAATGAGACAGGACCGGACAGGATGAGACGAAAAAAAACATAACGAGAGAAGAAATGAATTTTGTATACTTCTTATTATATTAAATGACGAGATGGGATATAAAGGAATGAAAAAAATGATACCACATAATTTTGCCTACTTCAAATTATATTTAGAGACGGAAATAAAAAAACGAAAGGAACATGATGAGACAGGACAAGACGGAAAGAAACATAATGAAACGGGATAAGACTGGACGGGACGAGACAGACAAATTAGACATGACGAGATGAAAAAAACGGAATGAGACGGGATTGGATGGGACGGATGAAAGGACATAATGGGACGAGAAGGGACGGGACATAAATTTCACCTACCCCTAATTATATTTAGGGACAGGATAGAGACACGACAAAACGGAAAAAAAAAATACATAACAGATAGGATGGGACTCGATAGGGCGGACATGACGGAACGGGATGAGGAAAGAACGGGACAAGATGAGAAAGAATGAAATGGGACGGGATGGGACTATACGGAAATTTTGCCTATCCTTAGTTATATTTAGGGAACGAGACGAGAAGAAACGAAGGAACATGATGGGACATAACAAAATAGGACACGACAGACAAGACGGATGGGACGGGAAAGAACGGACATGATGAAAATGAACGAAATGGGATACGATGGGACAAGACGGTACATTAATTTTGCCTAACCCTAATTATTTTTAATTAATATGTGTAATATTTTTGAAACAATAATAAACCATAGAAATAAATTAATTTTGCGGAAAAAAATAAAATTAACATAATAATATAAATTCCTGCGGTCACCTCCTAATCTTATATAGATTTGTAACAAATCGTAGCGTGATCGAGTTGCTTAAGTTTTGTTTTCCAATCGATCCCTACTGGATTAGTGATCTTAAAGCCATATTCTTTTTGATCACATGGATCTGGATCTTAGACATCTCCACACTCACGAGGTGTTCGATGAGATGTCTGAACCAGCTGATCCAGAGATTTACTGTTCTAGTCTAAGGGATTAGATGTCTAGAGAGTACTTCGACTTTATCGAACTTGTTCTTAATGCTTGCTTGTGTATCCTCGCTAATGATGATTAGGTCTTGAGAAATCACTAGGTTTGTTGGTCTCTTTCATGAAAGTGAATTGATCTTGTTTATTGAGTTCGTTGTTGAGGGATTAGCCCGTGTTTGGGGTTTGTTAAGTGACGAGATCACGTTAGGTGTAGTTACAGATCGATTACCCCATCTTTAAGAGCTTGATCTTTCTCTGATATTTGCAACTGTTATTCTATTGCTTTAGTTCGATTGCATTCCTCGCTGACTCGATCGAACCTATTACTTGTTTCAAAAATTTCACACTAGCTAATGAAGCCCATCATAATTATTATTATTAAATAAATTATACTTAAAATATTTAATAAATACAAGTTTATTCATTTTTTACATATATTTATATTTAAACATATTTAAACTTAAAGAAAATACACGAACAAATTAATTAATTAATATAAGTTAAAGAAAGTTACAATATAAATGAAGATGAACTAAAGAAATATCTAAATTCAAATAATATATATACTGTTAGCTTTTTTTGTTTAAAAAATTGTATAAAAGTTGTTCTATTTAAAATGTTATAATGTGTTTACAAGTTTAAAATATGTAAAATCTAATTTAATTACTGTTGTAGAAAGCTAATGAGAAATTAGAGTTGAATTATTTTTCTAAAACAAATTGAAATCGAGTTATTATATGTAAATTTCATTGCAACGAAAAAACATAATTTTTTTTATAGATTGTGATATGTTTATTTGAAAAATACAATTTATATTTTCAAAACTAACATAATAGAAAATAATCAATGGTCATCATGTTTAGATATTTATATAACATCATATATAAATAAATTATATCATATTTTGAGTGCAAATGCGATTATTCACTATGTTTATAAATTCTAAGATCAAGTTAAATGCGTACTTATAGTCTAAAACATGCTACATTTTGAAAAAGAGAAAATTCGAGAAAAATTGTGTAATTGAAATCTTAATAAAATAAAATAGAAAAACAAATTTATCATATCTTTAGTGTGATTTGTTGGCTTAACTCAAATATATCCAAAAGTTAATGTAAAATAGTCATTTTTCATATTCACGAAAGTAATAAAACCAAATGGAAAAAATTTCGTAAACAAATCCGTACATGTGTGGGGCTTCAATACCTAATAATAATAATAAGTGAGAAAAACTGTTTACATACAAAAATAAGAACCTGACCCATATATAAATGTATTGGACACAAATCTATACAATAACTTAAAATAAAAGTTCAGTTAAACAAAAAATTGAATATGTTAATTGATCAGGTGTCAATACCAAAACAAAAGATAAAAAAACGTAACCCCGTGCAGCAGTCTACTACCATTTTATCAAAGAACTATAGTATCTTCCTTTTGAAAGGTACTCTGATTCTTTTTCAACTAACCAACATAGCCGTTATAAGGTTACGGAGCCCTAGGCTCCTTTTGGATCATCTTCTTCATCGTCTGCCTTGTTTTTCTCTAAGCTCTCCTTCTTTCTCTCATGATTAATTCATAATTCATAAATTCTCTTTGATATTAACTTGTAAGTTGAAAGGTACCATCTTTGTTGAGGTACTTGGGATCAATTAAAGACAGTAGAAAAATGATAACCAATTATTGTAATATACACTGATGTCACTCATTCTTCTCAACCTAACTTTCTGTTTTAGCTACGATCTTCCAGATCCATCACCATTAGCTTAAAACATTAATAAAATATCTGACACTAACCCAATGTTTGACTCCGAACTGTTTTGCTGGTAATCAGTAGAGCTGGTAAGAGCATAAGCATTGCAGAACTTTTAGAGCATATGCATTGCACATCTCTTCATAGGCTCTACATCAAAAAGAAAAAGAAAAAACAAAAATTTAATGACGTGGCTAGAGTTAAAAACAGAATCGGTTCTCAGAGAGTATCCGTCTCTCATGCATAGCTCTACAGCTGTCGTTATGTGATTCAACAAATAATTTCTTTCTCTTTTTTTCTTTTAAAAATAAAATAAAATTAGACTATTTTATCTCGAAAACTGTTTTAAAGAGCTTTGTCATCGACTCTGCGATGCATGTGCTCTTAGTAGTCTCTGAAGCCCAAAAATAAATAAAAAAGCCCAATAATTACACAGGTGGCCATGTTGAAGCCGAGAGACGTCTCTCTGGGAAGAGGCTAAAATGGAGTCTCTACTTGCCACGTGTCAGACGGGGAAAACTCGGCAGGGAAAAAAAAGCTCGATGATTTATTTTCTATTCTCGAAATTTTTTTGCTTTGGTTTCTCCGTTTTTCAAAGAGATTTCGAAGAAACCATCGAAATCTCTTTCTTCAATCTCTGCTCTGTAAATCCCTTTCCTGTTCGACGTTCTCCTTCGTCTTCTTCTTCTTCCTCTGCTTCTTCGTTCTGTCGTGATAGTAACTCTTCTCTTTCCTCTTGTCAATTTAATTTCCGGCGATTTTCCCTGTGCGATCTCCTGCCATTTCGCGAAATTCTCAGCTTAGTGACTCTGAAATTAGTTGAATTAATTGTTTGTTTAGTAGATTCAGTTGAGTTTTTCATCTGAAAAGTGATAAGCTCGAATCGTAAATCTGGTTTTCTGATTTAGTTGAGATTTTCATTTATGTATGTCGTAAATCAGAAATTCAATTGGGCAATTGTATGATAGAATTTGGTGTTAATTGTTTAGGGTGTATTTTTCTATTATAGATTCTTCCTTTGATTTCTCATCTCTGTTTAATCTCATCTGTTTTATCTGGTGACAAAATTTGCTGCTTGTATAAATGCTATAGATTCTTAAAGTTCGATAGTTCATGTATAGAAGGATTGCAAGTTGGGTTGAGTCCACTTTATGTTGAGTTGCGGATGATATCGAAGAATATGTTAATAAAACTCATTGCATTTAGTTGTAGTTTGGTTTAAAAATGGTGTTAATTATGAATCTTATCATTTCATTTTATTACAAAAAAAATGTTAAATAATTAATTTTGAAGAACTCAAACGGAACTGTGCAATGGAGAGAGTCAATTTCCAAAATCCTAAACGCAATGGAAAGAGTCAATTTCCAAAATCCTAAAGTAAGCTCTACACTTAAAAAACTAATATTTTTATTGTTAAAAAATTCTAAAGAGCTCCAAAATGGAGTTCTGCAATGCCAATGCTCTAAGAACATGTACAATGGAGATACTGCACATAGTCTCTCTAACAATTAAAAATAAATGATTTTCGGAGTAAAAAAAATAAAAATAAAAGAAAAATGAATTCTGACCAATTGTGTAGTGACATGTGTAGAGTTTACATTGAGAAACGTCTCCAAAGTCTCTATGGGCAGAGACGGATCTGAGCTTGAGTTTTGCCATGTAGATATTTCTTTTCCTTCTTTCTTTAATTTTTGGATTGTAAATACCCCTAAAAACTCTCCAGTGCACTTGCTCTAAGGAAGGATTCTTAGCCAAAAGCAAATACTTATTAACCCAAATATTTATTCATCCTTTTTTACAGAAAAAAGGATTACATCAAAATACATCAAACTCGTAAACCAAAACACACACAACATTCAAAAGCAAAAAGCAAAAAGCAAAACTCAAATATCAGTTTCCAGAATCTTGAAGTCCTCTCTGCCCTGGTATAACTCCACCGGAATCCGAAAATCCCATAGTCCCTACCCATACCATAACAACAAAAACGTAAGTAACTTCAAATAATAATTACACCAAAATCTGAAAGTCACTTATAACAAGGACGAAGAATTATAATTACCAACGGTGGAGCCAAGCGACTGTGACGACTCGTCAACGGAATCTGAAGACTTATTAGGCTTCACTTCCTCAGTTGTACCACCGAGCCAAGAACTGACCGCTCCTTTAAGCTTCCCCACCATTCCTCCTCCTCCTACATGTTCTTTCTCCTCCAATATCTGATCGGAGGGGATCTTCTCCACCGGTACCTGGTCAGAGGGAATCTTCTCCACAGTCACTTCCACTTCCTTTGTCGTCGTCATCTTCTTCTCTCCTCCTCCTCCGAGATGAAGTTTCTCCGCAATCACCTCCGATAATGCTTTGTCTTCTTCTCCAGGTCTCAGTTTCTCAGCAAAGTAGTCTCTAGTCGACACACCTTTGTCTACTCCTTGCTGTTTCTCCTCCGTTACACTTCCACCTCCGGAAAGTGGCAACTTCGTCATCACGTTCGATCCTGTTTCTTTGACTTTTTCGTAGACCGGAGTCAACTTCTCCGCAACAGTTCCCGCCACTTTCTGACCGTATCCCGTCGCAGATCTCGGAGTCGTTTCATCAACTCCAACCGGGCTCTGTGTTTGCACTCCTCCTCCGCCGCCGCCGCTTTCTCCGGAGTAACCTAGCTTCGAGGCGACTGCGTTCTTCGCCGCTATAGCTTTGTCGGTTACGAACGAAGTCGCTGAACCTATCTTCTCCGTGTACGTGCTGGGTTTTGCCTCATCTCTTGTCCCCTCGAAATCATCTATCTTTTTCGGAGGAGAAAGTTCCGGTGAGAACTGATCATGACTTCCCGTCGGTAAGTCTCTTCCCAACACCGTCTCCACTTTCGCATCATCATTTCTCGCCGGGAGAGGAAGATCTTTCTCCAATCCAGGTCCTGACTCGCCGCTAAACCCCGATTCGTTCTTCAGACCTCTCGCTGGGTAATCTTCGCCCAGCCCAGCGATTGAAGCGCTTCCTAATCCCGTCGCCGAATTCTTGTCGATTCCAGAATCGTTCTTCTGATCAAATTCATGGCCTCTCGTCGGAAAATCTTTCCCTATCCCAGCTCCTGATTTCCCTCCAAATCCCGCCGGAGAATCTTTTCCGATTCCCGATTCCTTCTTCAGACCAAATTCTTGGTCTCTCGGCATGTCTCTTTCAAATCCAAGTCCTGATTTCTGATTAGAAGACTCATCGGTCACTTTCATCCTCCCGAGAGACTCAGCAATCTCCGGTACTCCAGCTTCTCCACCTCCTACATTAACACACAACAGACAAAAGAGCTACAGATCCATAAACCTAATTTACAGAATCATACATTATCTGATAAATCTGCATAAAGTTCTTACCTTGTTGGGTGGGATCAGTGACCTTGGACTGATAATTAGATACACCACTTAGATAACTCGACCCACCGCCTGGAGCAGCCGAATCTTCCTCCAAACCTCTAGGCCTCTCGATGTTGACTTTCCGTTGACCACCGAGATATTCATCTTCACCAGGAGCAAACGTACTTGTCACATCCTCTGTTCCGGATAACAGAGACGCAGGAGTGTTCATTGGCATCTGATGAGCCTCTCTGCTCTCTTCTCTCTCCGACATGTCTCTCAGTGGATGAGAGTATTCTCCTCTTCTCTCTTCCCTGTCCGTCATTCTTACAGGATCGGGATCAGACAGTGCTTCGTGTCCGTAGACTGTATCTAGTAATGGCTCAGCTTCAACGGGTTTGGTGTAATCGGAAGATACCACCGGAAAAACCTTCGTCCCTGGTGGAATGATCTCTTCCGGTGCCGGGACATTAGTTTCTCCGGGATGACTCAGTGACTCGGGTTGACCCGTTACACCGCCTCTCATAGCAGACGATTCATACACTGTTAAAAAAAACGTTACTAACAACAAAAATAACCGCTTGTTTTGTTTCTGAAGGAAAGCTTTAAACCTGGTGCGCCGTGCATTTCTGGGTCTTGTTCGTCATATTCATCGTCTTCTTCGTGGACATCGTGATCGTGTTCATGTCCATGTTTAGTAAGACTGTTCTTGATCTTCTTAGCTTTTTCCTTCACTTTCTTCAACACTTTACTTGCTCCCTTCTCTTGATGCTCTTCTTCCTCTGTTTCCCAAATCACAACATATCAGGCAAACCCAAAGTTTTCGAAATTAGAATCTACTTTGCTTACATACCCCATATAAATACATACCTGGATGGTGAATTCTGATTGGATCCTCTGCTTGATCATCACCATATGGACGTCTCATCTGCGACTGCATATCCATTTTCCAAAGCTGTTTTATGTTTTGTTTAAAAGGAAACCAATCAATAAAACTCTCTCTGTTTCTGTGTATTGCTTATTTTCGTCTTGGCATTGATCTGAGAAAGCATGAAAAGGTTTTAATAGAGAGAACGATGACATATGGTCGAACCACCTCTCTCTGGCTTGTGTCTCTTTGCTTCTGTAGGATCCTGACACGTGCGATGCATCCGTTTCGTCCTGCCACGTCTCAGACTTTTGCTCTCTACGTGGCTAAAGTCGGTTATAATCTTTATCCGCTCTTTAATTAAATCAAATTCGGTCCAAACTCGGAAACTCCACGTTATATTGTAGGATATGCACTGGGTGCTGTTTAAATATATAATAAACGGCACATTGTTCTGACTCGAAAAATTGAAGACGGCGTGTTGTTTTGAAATCCGTACACCGCCATTTCAAATTTTGAATTTCCACTGCGTGTTGTTTACAAAAATTAAAAAACGACATATCGTCCTTGTTCAAGAATGAAAGACGGCATGTGCTGAGCGTTGAATCGGTCTCTTTCCGACTCTCTCTCCTTCATTTCGAAATCATCGTCGGAGTTATTTTATTTTATTATTTCTTAAAATCGACCGGCGAAGAATTAAAGCGCCAATTTCAAATTCGTTCCTCCTCCTTCTTCTTCTTCATCATTTCCGCCACAATCTTACATCCAAGGCGAATCTGGAAGAGTGCGATGCGAGGTCGATTTCTCAGTATCGATTACTTCTCTACTTCACCTTCTCCGGTATACGAAACCCTAGGCTTCCTCAATCTTCCAGCTCCTGATAATTTCCCGGCGTCTCTCGTCCGCGACAGGGAAGATGACCTTCTTCGATTTGGACCTGTCGAAGATTTCCGTCTCCCGATCGCTAATTTGCCTATTGAATCTGCTCTATCGAAGTTCCTTTCCGACGTGATTCCCGATCGCGTCGGCGTGGACTATGGAGTTTTCGAAATGGATGACTCTTCCGTCGGAGACAAGAGAAACTTCCTTGGGTGTGAAGATCCTGAGCTCATGGAGGTGAAATTTTTGAATCTCTTGAGATTTCGTTTCTCATTTCTCTGGAATCAGTGATATTGAAAGGCACAGTTTCTGTTGAATCTCGCTGTGTATATGACTGTTAATTATAGCGAAAATTGTTGTAGATTTCCTAAGTTCATGGATGGTTTGCTTAGTTTCCATTTGTAGTTAGTGTCGTCACTTTGTTCTGTAGTGGTGATTGTTTCTTTGCTCTCAACGTTCATGCCAGAGGTGGAAATTCTGCTAGCTTACTGGAATCTAACTGGAGTTTGATTGACCTAAATCCTGATCTATTGCAGAAGAATTGTGGAGATGCCATTGAGGAGAAAGCTACACTAAATTTTAACATTATTCAGTTGGAGACTCCAGAGTTGGATTTCGAAATGGTATTTGCTCAAACTCTGTGTATACATGTATTAATCGAAGTTTTTCTTTGTGATGTAAAACTTATCTTTCATTGTAAAGGAGGAAAGGCTCTTATCCAAGAGGGAGGATCTCCAATGTTTCTCTGAAGTTCTACAGATTGAAAACGAGCCGGTAATTTCTCTGAAGTTGATTTCAGTAAATGTCAATGTGTAAAGTTCTCATGCACCAGAGGAGTTTTCGTTTTTCTCTGGTTCCAATTGAAACGTCTTTGAATAAACAGCATGGAAATCAACTTTCTGGCCTTGTTAGGTTGATATTGGACTTTCCTCTCCAGTCATTATCTGATTTTAGCTGGTCTTCTTGTTTGCAGGTTAAATTTGAAGAGTCAGATATTGTCCTACAGAATTCAAATGATATCCAACAAAAGATTTGTTATGTTGATTACATGTCTTCTGACTACTTCACAGAGAACAGTTCTTCGGTAACAGAAGATGAAGGCTTCCGCAAGAATCGACCGTGGTTCAGAGATGCCAGATTTCCCCTTCTAGAAGTGGATGAAGAACACTTGAGCGACTTATCAAGCTTATCTATGCTTGATAAAGTATTTACCGTTCTTGAAACAATCGAATCCCAAGTCACGGATCCGGAGAGTTCTCTGGTTATCAATTCTAAGGAGCTTATAGGCTCTAAGGATTATGATATCCTGGATATTCTCTCTACAGATTGCTATTCGAACAAGTGTGTCCAATCTGATATGGTACCAGAGAGTGCTTTTTCGGAAATGGGTATAGTGAATATCCTGGAAATATCAAATGCTGAGGAGAACTTTCAGTTTGGACAGGGAAAGGTGGCTGCTGATAGTGACTTTACAACGGTCCCAGTAACTTTTGAGGAAGTTTATATCCCGGATGTGGAGGTATCTGATGTTTTTGATAGCTTCCTTTGTTTTCAGGAAACCATTGAAGCAGAAAAATGCTCCGAGATGTTCAGTGAGGAGATGAACTTCAAGAATTTCGATGAATTAGTCGTCAGTTCTGAACTTGCCTTCACAGATGATGCCTTCAAGTCTATGCCTACTCCTCTTTTATATGATTATGAGATCACAAGATCTCTGGAACTCATTTATGAGGATGTTTTGTCAAAGATCAAGCCTCAAGCCTTTTCTGCATCAAATGACATATACTTGCCTTCGAACCTTCTTGAGGAAAGAAAACACAACCATGAAGCCCCTTTCTGTGATTACCCGTTTGAAGAAATAGTTACATGCAACATTGATTACAAGTGGGACTCTTCAGAGGGAGATAAATGGGTTTATGATTTCATTTTCTCTGAAGATGCTTTCTGCGAGCCACTTGTAGAGAGATGCACAGAGCCTTTCTATGGTATATCTACCATTGATGAGCATCCTCCTGTTAATACTTCCCATGGGTTATTGGAAAACCGATGTCCAAAATCAGGAGCCATGGATTTTGGAGGGGATGATAATGCTAAGAAGGCTACGCAGGTGTTCAAATCAATGTTAGCTTTTGATGACTTAAACTTTTTCATGGATCCTCAGAAGGCTGTGATTGAAGAGAATCTCGAGTCAAGAGTCGAAGTTGCTAAGACTGCCAACCATAAAGTTATCTCTACTGACTCTAAGGCTTCATGTATATCTGGCATGCACCCAAACCCAACCACAGAAGATATGACACTTCACTGTGTGCGCCCGTCAGAAAATATTCTTGCCCTTGTCAGAGACTTTGAGAAGAGCTATTTAACTCTTGTGAAGGATGAATCAGAGTTGGTTTCAACTCTATCAGAAGATAAACTTAAGTTACTCAGCATTTCGAAAGGAAAGCTTATTGACTGCATAAGAAAGGCGAATGTCCACAGAACACAGTTGGCAGATGATAAGACTTTCACGTTTGCACTACTACTAGCAATTAAACAGATGACATGGTATATGTGTTTCTTTGGTATCCACGTGGCGTATCTCTATCTTGACAAGTTATGCCGGAGCTCAACTCCCATGAAGCTGGGATTGCACACTCTCTACTCATCAGTTGAAACGGAGCACAAGTCAGTTGAGAGAGACATCACAAGATCACATCCATCCTTAGCTGTTATCCAGGGGATTTTACATTCAAAAGTTTCCCAGGGGAATTCCAAAGCATTAATTTTGGCTGAGAAAGTCTTTTGGTCCTCGTTGAAGATGCTATTAATGTCCATGGGGTTATCATACAATGAGCTCAGCAGCCCGTCCCCAAGTGGAAACGAACCAAATCTCAATGAAGCAACCACAGAACTCGGTTTTCTGCCGAATTCTGACTGTCTGCTGGTCTCTTACGAGTGAGTATTATCTCTTCCTATAGTAGTATCCTCATTATCAATGATCATAGCCTTTGAAAATTGATTATTTTGGAAACTGTAAAAGGAAACAAATAAGTCATGGATAGAGATACAACATGATCTTGAAATATTACGTGACATCTGCTCGTGAAACAGTTACCTTTTTTGTTCTTTGGGTCTTTGCAACATATCTTGGCTCAACTGTTCTTTTGGAGAGAAGTTAAGCTAGCTAACTCTAGTTCTTTCTGTTTTAATCTAGGCGCATTTCTCCATCTTTTCCTCTGGAGAATTTCAGTGTCATTGTTGATTATGGAGGTCCAAATACCTCGCCCAGAGTCTCTTCTCCTTCAAAGTTGGACTCCTTTCCTTGTTTCCATTTTATAAAAGTGGAGCTGGATATGTCCAGTGCATGCGGGCAACTCTGCACAGGTGTTACAGTACCTTATAGTCTCAATATGCTTAAGGTAAGCAGGAGTCAACTTTCAACTTTTTCCTACAATAAAGACTGTATCTGTAAATTGTGTAGTAAGTTGTAAGTGTCTGTGTGTGGAGGGATCTAACCCAAAGCACTGGGGCTATCTATATCACAAATAATATATTCGTGAGCACATGATCTTGATTGGTTTTGCAAGTCTAAAACATATACAAGTGTATCACTAGTATGTACTTGAACTTAAAATTGTTGCCTCCACACTGGTATTAGCACTTCTTCCATAACTGTTTATATTTGAATTCTTTGCTTTAAACATGTTCCAATATTTGAATCGGTGTCCAAGAACTTACGAGTGAACATCAATGTCTGTTGTAGGGAGATGAACTTGAGACGAAAACTGGGTGGTTGGAAGAAGTGTTGAACTTTGTTCCACTTGAAAGTATGTGTTCCGCAGGATCTTCAGAAACTACAAAGGATTCTGAATTTGTCTCCATGCCTCAAGAATCTGGAAGAAAAAATGGGGTAATTAAACAGAGAGTTCTCGTTGACCAAAGATCTGTGATTGTTGTGAACACAAAAACAATCGAAAAGGAGATGATCATATCCAGAAGAAGTACATACCAGAAGGTGTTGGCAATGGAAAAAGAAGGAGTGCAAGTTGTGGAGCGCGATTCAGATCTACCTGTGGATCTGATGCTAAGTCCTGCAACTTGTCTACTCTGGTATGATTGTGAAGATGCTAGTAAGAAGTCGGCTGCAACTATTGATGCTTCCTCTAGCTCACTTTCATGGATTGGGGATATCGCAACCAATGTCTTGACGTCACTGAGTTTCAGTTTTAGCAGCTGCATTATGGTAAATTTCACTGAACTTGCTTCCTACCATTCTTTTGTGGCAACATTGCACTCTAAAAGAATGACTGTTATTCTTTTCTTATAGGTCTTTGAGGGGGAACCAGTCTGCCTGGCTACAATAATGGACTCTTCTGATGAACTGTATGCAGCAGCTGGTAGCCTGGGAATCAGTTTACAGATCTTTTGCTCATCATCACCTGATTTAACTGATGAAGTTATATTGAGGTGTATAAAATCTTCAGTTAAATCGTCCCAAGTCCATACCAAAATGCCAGAGTCAGAATCCCTTGCAGAATCATTTCTCACCAAGTTTCCTTCCGTGAATCCGCTTACAGCTCAAGTGATTCTGTCATCTTCTGGGTCCCTTCTCGAATTCATGAAGCTCCCACATAGTAGGAAGGTTCAAATGATGCAGAAGTATCATGTACCTGAAGAGAGTGTTGATCTGTTTAGTTCACTATGCAAATACGGTGCAAGGGAGGACTCCAAATCTGTTATGACAGACAGCTCTTCTTCGGTATCTTCTGGACCTGACTCAGACACACACCATTTCAGTGTTAAAAAAAGGAAACAGAAGCACGTTACTGGGAAAGATGAAATAGATATGGACGAATTTGCTCCCTCAACAGAATTTGCTGATGCGAAGCGCAAGCCTTCAAGGGATTTCCAACTTGATGATTCTTGGTCATCTAGAGATCATGAGTTATTTCATTTTGACCCTGTCACTGAATTCTCCGATGTGCCTCTCAAGCCTTCTGGAATCGTTCATCATAATGATGAATCTTGGCCATCTAAAGATCCTGAAAGATTTGACAAGAAGTCAGGACCTGGTTCATCGTCATCAAAGGACGCATTCTGGGAAAAGGATTTTGAAGTGGGGGACAATCTTCCCGGATTCGAAAGTTGGAATTTCCCAGTTACAGATGAATTCATGAGCCAGAAGAGAGGACATAAATCTCCTGGGATGGGAAATTTAAACTTGCATGACACTAGGCATTCAGAGAAGTTCATAGCAGACTACAGAGGTGAAGTTATCAACCTAGATGATAGTAAGTTTCTCGAGGAAGACTTCCCGCCTTCTCCTGGTTATAAAAGGTTCACACCAATGGTTTCTGATGATATTGATGAAGACGACCTTCCAAGAAAATCGAAATTTGCAAGGAAGTTATCTTTCTCTGGACCTCCTCACAAGCCTTACTTCCCAAAAGCCGCTGAGATTAACTCGAGTTTCGAAAGATTAGCCACCGAGAAAGACTCAAGAAACATCTCCAGTATTATCAATGACAACAATGATTCTTCGCGTGGCTACGTTGATAACAACTATCCAGCAAAACGCCAAAGGACCCTTTTGGATGAAGTCTTAACACGGAGATCTGGAGTTTCAGCAACAGAGCTTCCATTTAGAGAAGAGATTTCACACTTTGATGGATCTCCACTATCAAACGCAATCCGTTCTCAAAATCAAGTACAAGGCTCTCCATGGACGATTGAGTTTCTTAACCGAGTCAGAGAAAGAAGCAGAGAAAGGAAACAGCAACATTCTCTTCCTTCTTATCTCACTCCCTCTAGTTTGGAAACTCCAGGGAGCCTAAAGAAAGCTAATACCAAGAGAAAGAGCCCTTCCATACTAGAATTCTTCAGGTATAAAGGAGGAAACGCTCATAGGAAATTTCCAGAAGAGAAAAAGCAGAAGCGGTCTAAGAATCCTTCAGCCTCACCACAAAATGAGAGATTTTACTCGCCTCTTAAGTCGTGGACACCGATTGATAAACGAGCTAAACAGGTATTGCTTTCTATATAAGTGTGATTTTTTCATACCGTGTGATTACTCTAAAATGTTTTTTCTTTCCAGTCACTATCTTTCGCAGTGAATGGATCTGGAAGCCAAACAAAACTGGTCTGGAAGTAGAGAAACAAACACGCTGTACAATTTGAAAACTAAGCTATAACCAGTCAGAAATTCAGTGTGGATGATCAGATTTTGAGGTTGGTATCTCAAAATCTTTATGTAGTCGTACTTTTTCACTTTCTTGAAGGTTATAATTAATAACGGACCAAATGCTTATAGACTCTTAAGAGTAATTTAGCTGAATGCTTTAGAGACTTGTAAAATCTTATAGAGGAAATATATTGATTTCTTAGCAAGTTTATGAAATAATGTTTTATGGGAGAAACGAATTCTATTAACAACAACACAAGTTATTATAGTATTTTTCATCTATGGTGTTACAACAATTTGTATTCGCAGGCAACATGTAAATCACTAAAACTTCTTACCGTTCTTGAGGTTTCTGACAGCCATTACAAGTTGTTGTCTTTCACCTTCTACCTCTGCAAATCTCAGGCTTATCTCTGAATATCTCTCTTCCATTTCTTTCAACTCTCTCTCCATTGAACTGTTTTTGTTCTTACAATAAGCCAATTCGTCTGATAGCTTTGTTAGATTCTCCTCTTTGTGCCCATTCTCCTGTGACCTTGCTTCCATCCTGTTTTATAGAATCGTAATACGTCAAATCATCACAACTTGTAAAAGTAACATTTCAGTTTAGTTAGTTTATGTTTGCATACCTTGCATCTAGGATCTTAGTCATGTCCTCTTCTTTTCTCCGAATATCGACTTTCAAGTTTGATACTTGTTTTCTCAACTCTTCATTCTCCATTTTTTCTTGAACAAAGCTGTTTTGTAACTCGCTGTACTGTAGGCTTAGACCTTCTACTTCTCTCTTCAGATTCCGAAGCCTGGTCTCCTTTTCATCATTTGAAGACTTACTGAGAGTTAACTCTTTCTGCGATGTCTTGGCTTCTTCTTTAGCCAAAGCAAACTTCCTCTCGAACTCATCTTTTGCTTTCCTCCACTCTTGTATTATCTTCTCGGTTTCAGTAGCTGCTGCATTCGATTCCTCTCTCATCTTCGTTAGCTTCACGACCTCGCCTTCGAGCATCTGCACTTTCATTGACAAAGCTTCGTTCTTCTCTTCCACGCTCTTCTTTAGCTCTCTCTGTTGTGTGATCTCGGTATGTGCTCTTCCTTGCATTTCCTCTAGAGTCTTGTTCTGCAGACGAAGGTCGTTCGCTTCGGCCAATGTTTTCGTCGTCAGATTCTCGTGCTCGCTCAGCTTCGATTCCATTTCAAGAGAAAGCCTCTTGCATTTCTCTTGAAGCCGCTCTGCTGCTATAGCGTTTTTCCATCTTGTCTTCCTCAGATTCTCCTCTGCGTTGATGGCTCTTTGCTCTTGCTCTGTTTTCTCCCGCATCATTGTGTCGAGATCTTCATCGAAAGCCCGTGACTGATCCTCCAGCTCTTTCTTCAACTCCTTCACCTGACTCTCGAGTTCATTAACCGTGATCAAGCATTCAGAGTACTCCATTGATTGCTGCTTCAATTTGCCTTCCAAGATCTCTATCTGAGATTCCAATTCTTCTATAGGATCATTTGAATCCAAGAAGTTACCTTCCGGTTTTGAGCATTCTTGATTCTTACAGTTTTCCTCCTTCAAGAACTCATATTCCCGAGTAAGATCATTCAAACGAATCTCCTGTTCTTCGTTCTTTTTCCTGTAAGAGTCTAGCTCCCAATCCAAATCTTCGATCTGTTTCCTTAGCGTATCTATCTCATTATGTCCAGATTCCATTTCCTTATTCTCTTCAAGCTTCTTAGCCTCATCTAACAAGCTATTCAAAGAAGATATCTCTTTGTTCTTCTCCTCCAACATCTCATTGAGATCTCTCACAGCAAGAATCAAGTTAGAGTTTGAGTCTTGTGTCCTCTGCAGCTGCAACTTAAGGTTACTCGTCAAATCCTTCTCACAGCTCAGCTCATCTCGAATCTCCTCAATCATATTGCTCGAATCTTCGCTAATGAATCTCAACCTGCTCTCAGCGTCAGCTTCCTCTCTGCTTTTCTGCAACCTTAGCTTTTCACATTCTTCCAAAGCTCCATCTCTTTCTCCTTTGAGAGAACTAACTTCCCTCGATAGTTCCTGTATACGTTTGCTCTCCTTTATCGCCTGTTTCCTTAAAGACTGTTTTTCCAGCTCTGATAACTCCGATTGCCTCTTCAAAGCTTCCACTTCCATCTTAAGCTTCTCAATGGGGTCACTCGGATCAGCACCACAAGATAATCCTCTTTGGAAACTGTTCTCAGGACTGTTTCTCGACTCGATGTAGCTTTCATCTGATGTTGAATCTGACCAGTCTGTGTTTGATCTCCGATGCCCGTTTGTCGCCGCAGGAACTGAGTTATGTCGTTGAGGCAACCGTGCATTTCCTTCCATCCATCCTGACTCACCAATGGAATCAAAGGAACCTCCTAGACCAACGTTCTTAGCCATGTTCAAATCTAAGCTCCTTTCTTGTTCCTGCAAAACAACTCAAGAATGATCTATACGACTTCCTTAAATGGACTTCAAGACAGTGTTAACTCTCTGAACCAAGAACCCTTACATCTTGGTTATATCCCTCTAAGTCATCATTGCTTGGTAGGCTTTTGAAGCTATCCTCCTTGCTAAGTGTTTGATCCTTATTTTCCTCAATTAATCTGCAAAAGCTTTAAGTCAGAAACTGCACAACAACAACAACATTCGGGGAAAATACTTATAGAAACTATTTTCTTACCTTAAATCATTGGCTCCTTGGATCTTCTCGATTGTCACCTGCACGCAACAAGAACACAAACATTTTACTATAGTCTTTTAAAAGAAACTGTTAACTTCTCACATAGTTGCTCAGGTTTAGATCTTGAAAATATTTATTGACACAATTTCTTACATTTAAGACAGCACCAGAGTTGGCAAATTTAAGAGGCAAGGAGACAGTTACTGGCTCTGCTTCTGTCAGAAAATCTGCAAAATCAATCGAAGCTTCTCCTAGAAAACCCGATTTTGAAGAACCCTGAAACAGAGTTTGAAAGATAAGAAGGCTCAAAAAGTCTTTTTTTTTAAAAAAAAACAGAAGAACTCGAAAGACATAAAGCTTGTTGATTTCTCACTTACTGTTGCAACAACAAAATGGTAAATCTTCTCACGAATAATCCCAGTTTTTGGTTCTTTTATTAGCTTCACTGACACATAAATTGGATTCTCCCAAGAACAGATCCCATCTTTAACCTCAGCTTTCTCCAGCTTAAATGTCGGCTTCCCAACATCATCAGGAACCAATGAGATCATCAAAGCAGCTTTCTTCAGCTTTGGTACCTTCAAATAAAGGTAACAGTTTTTGCTTTCCTCATTAAATCCCCAAATTTTCACATTCACATTCAAACAAATCTTGGAACTTGACAGATCTAGGACTATATATAGTGAACATGTCTGAATTTCCCAGAGAAAAAATAAATAAATGCAAAATTAGATTATTGGGTTTCGAGATTTAAGAGACAAAACACACCTGAGTTGCCTGAAAGTGAATCTTGAACACAGCCTTGATCTTGTTCTTGTCGTTCCTCCATGACTTGAACATTGTTTCTCAAAAACAAACCAAAACTTTACAGACTCTTCACCGCAAGATTTCTCAGATTCATATAAAAAAAACAAGAAGTAGATGGTTTCTGGTTTGTATCAGTTTTTTTCGAAGAATGTAAGAGGAAAAGAACAAAACAAAAACTGATTTTACAGTCTGTTGATCACTTTCCTTGTAGAATATAAAGGTTGATTGGTACAGTTGTTAATATAAAACTTAATCAGTGAGATATAAGTAGATTCCATCTAAAGTCTTTTTTCCTTCTTGAGTACTGCTTTTATGGGTCGATTGAGTAGGAAATTAACTTTTTATTAGTTTAAATATTGAATTGAAAAGTGCTTTTCTTTTTAATGCAGTAAGGCATATGATGTGTAGGTGTTTTTATCTGTGTTCTAAAACTCGTTAGGCGGTACTAGGGCGCTCCGTCTCCTTTTAGCGATTTTCTTAAAAGTCGGAAATAAATTGGAGAGTACTCGGAGATTAATTTTAAGTACATTTTAATATATTTCCAACATTTTTAATTTTTTATATATAATACATCAACATGAAAATCATATACTACATTATTACCAAATAACATTCTTTTTTTATAAATAATACATTAATATAAAAATCATATACTACATTTTTAAGGTTTCATGTTGAATGAAAACTGAAAAGTGCCTTTACACAATTTGGGTGAATTGGAGCTAATTGTGAATAAAAATCAAACTTTAGCCCACCAGATTTTAACATTTACTTATTGATTTTTATAATAATGTGAATGTCAAAGTACGGTCAACGGTTGACCATATCTTTACTCGGTTTTTAAAAAGTCGGAACAGCAACCTCTTTCTGACGGTTTTAGGACCGAGTACTCAGCAACTCGGCCAACTTTTAAAACACAAGTTTTTATGGGTCCTTGTATTTAATAGACACTCCAACCTCCCTTTTTTCTCCTTGTGTTACTTCAAGGTCTAAGATTGTATAGAAATTGTGTAGTCTAAAGTATCTTTGTGAGGACACTAGCTTCCATTTTAGGTCAAGTGAAAGAGTAGGTTAGTTTTCTTAATTACATTTACTTTAAACTTCGTGTTACTTTTAAGTTTGGAGTCTGACGTTTTTATTTGTTTTGGAGGCCTATTTCATAAGGGAAAACTTCAAAGATCTAGTTGTATAATTGTATTAGTCTGTAATAAATGTCATTAGGTGAAGTGTAGGTTTCTTTATTTTTTTCCCATATATATTTTCTTTTTAGCCCTTCTAAAACAAATTTGTTGAATGTTCTATAATGTTTTTCAGTGAATATGTAAATTTTTATAATATTGCGTATTTTCATTATTCTTTTGAATTTTTATAATACACGGATAAAACAAATTTGTGGGCACTAAAACTCAAGATAAACCAATTGGATTACGGTAAAGAGGTTTTAGTGGCTTCTAGTTGTGAAATAATTCAAGTAAATTAGTAGATGAAAAGGCACCAAACATAACAACATTATTGATACTAATTGGTGGCCCCAAGAAACCAGCAACGCCTTTATCTGCATGCCACATCCTCGTCATAATCCATCGATCATGCAGCATTATGTTATATGTACATACAGCTGTCCACACTATAGAATATATGTATGTTGCGTGTCTCAAATCATATTAATGAGTACAGATTTATTTCAGAAATAATATAATTTTTTTCTTCCATTAAAGAAAAAATCATTGATTCCGTAATGTATATGTATATGATTGGTTTGATAATTTCACATTTCTCTTGATTTTTGTTATTAACTGAAGTATGCATATAAATTAGACATTTGTTTCTTCTTGTAGTGGTATCTGTAAGTAGATTAAATTATGATCAAATCATTAAGAGAATATGATTCAGGAGACCTGAAATTCTACAGTTCGAAATGATCTTGATTTCTAATAATGAAAATGAATCTTAATGGAGTAATGTTTAGAACTAGTAATAAAGAATGACTAATAGGCTGTATTAGACGAATATAAAATGGCGTGAGTTTTGGAAGCACATGAAAACATGTGCAACAAACACTGTCCCTCTCTTAAATGCTCTCATTTCCTTTGTCTCCTAATATTTTTAGTCAACAAGTTTTTTTTCTTGATTTCTTAGATTAGGTCGAGAATGATATGGTTGCCCACAAAACAAAAGGGTCGAGAACATATTTAATCAGTACCCACTTATATCGAGAAATTAAGATTGGTAATTAGACTCATAACTTAATCATTGTAGAAAAGACAATTCATTGGCCCCCTTAGTTGTTAAACTTTGTGACAAAATGTCAAACAACTTTATTAATGTATAAGATTTTAATTCTTAGAAAATTGCTTAAATACTTGAAGTAAGCTTATCTATTTATTTATTTTTTCTCAAAATGATCCTATTACTGTATTTAAGCAATTATATCATTATTACACGATCATTAGCATTAGCATTACTACATGATCAAGGCTGGTAAACCTCGGGAAGACGAAGCCCTACACTAGCTGCAGATTTCCCAAGCACTCTTTTCATTTCTTCGGTTCTATCAACCGCAATGTTGTACGAAAACAGCAATTCCTGCAACAACAAGGAGTAAACATTAGAAACCAAGGCAAAGAAAGAACAATGCCAATGAGATTAAGAATTATGAAAGGCTTCTTCACCTTGTGAGAGTGAATGCTATTAAGAAGATATGTGTAATTGCGAGCGAGGTTGATTTTCTCTGAGTTTGCGTTCTTCCGAAATTCCTGCTTCACAAAGTCTGTGAAATGAGCCTTGTGATCTTCTTTTCCAACATGTTTCACCACTGCTTTGAGAAGGTCTCGGTAAACTCTAGCGGCTAACACAACTTCACCACTCATCTTCTCTGTTCTCTCACCCTATAAAACATTTCAAAGAGAGACATAAATTGGAGAGCTTTAGTTTGAAGCTCCAACTTGTGAAATTAAAGTCCTAATCCTTTAAACAAGTAAAGCTTAAGCCTCAGAAGCTATAATTTTGATTAGTAAAGTTATCCAGCGTAGAAACTGTATCCAATATGCAAAGCCACATTAAAAAAAAAAAAAAACATATACATGACCAAGTCTTAACATGACAAGCCAATGAAACTTTTCCTATAAACGCTGATCAAGTTATCTCAGAAATACTCAGGACACGTCAAATCATATCAAGTTATTTAAGCTCAAGACATATCAAATCCAAAAGATATTTAAGCAAATTATGTTAAATATTAGTCATGGTCCATAATGATCTCAGAGTTTGCAGTGATTTTGACCACGTTTCCTTGAATAAACAATGATGCAGAAAAATCATAACTATCTGTAACTCTATCGATTGCCAAACATGGATGTCTATGCAAAAGGAACCGAAAGTAGTGAAAGCAATGTTGTTACCTCCCAGTTTTAGTTTGCAGAGTCCAGATAAGAAACTAAGAAAGAGCCTTGTGCAATTGAATCCTAATCACAACAAACGACAGAAACAGACGGCAAAAGTTTCAATTTAAAATTCGAATCAAGAATTTCGAAGCATAATTACAAACGAGCTTAATATCCATCAATCAAACATTTGAATTCCAGATTTAAGGGATACAAGAGCTAAATCGCTACCAAATAAAGCTCTAAACCCAGAATCTACAGAGAAGATAGGTGAAACTTGCCTGAGCGCCGCCTCCGAGAGCTCGCCGGAGAAAGAGATTCGTCCAGAGAAGAGTGACCCGAGAGAAGAGAAATGTGAAGATAGGTTTTCAGTTGTCTGTGTGTAATTTTCTAATTTAGTAAGGGTTAAATTTGTCCTTTACAAAACTGAGATGCCCACCGATGTCTTGAGTTTGGTTCCTTTGTTGTTCAAGAGTTTTGAGACTTTCGCTTTTTTTTTTTTGGTCTTAATGTTAAGTTTTATTACGAAGTGTTTGATTTAAGACAGAAGTTACATAGAAAATAAGAATCTATATATATAAAACACAGTTGGGGTCTCTTCTGGGAGCCACGTCAGCAAACTCTCTTTTAAACAATGTTCTTCCAATTCTCTTTTAAGACTAATAATTTATTACATCTATCACTTAATCATAATAGAATTTGAAAAGTCATTTTGTATAAGAAAATATTTTTATATATTGATCTAAATAAATTCTAATTTAATAATTTTAGTTTTATCAAATAGATTTTAATAATTTAACAATAATAATAATAATAAAAAATGAACGGAATGACGCAAAACTGTATGATAACGAGACGGGAAGAAACAAGACGAGTCAAACTGAAAGAAAATGAATTTGACGAGGCAAAACGGGATAGAAAAGAAAGGGACATGGTGGAACAAGACATGAAGAAACAAGATAAGGCAGAATGGAAAGAAATGAACGAGACAAGGCAAAACGGTATGTGAATGAATAGGACGGGGAGGAACGAGACGGAAAGGAAATGTACATGATGAGGAAAAATGAGATGAGAATGAATGAGACGGTGCAAAATGGGACAAGGCGGAAACGAGAAGGAATAAACAGGACGGGACATAACGAGGCCAAAATTATACCCGACAAGGCAGAACGAGACGGGAAGAAAGGGATGGGGCAATACGAGACGGGAAAAAACAGAACGAGGAGGAACGGGGAGGGAAATAGGACAGGGAGGAACGAGATGGGAAATAGAACGGGATAGGAGGTAAATTTTGCCTACCTCTTATTATATTTAGAGACGGGACAAGAAGAAACAAAAAGACCAAGATGGGACAAGACAAGACAGGAAAAAACATAATGAGACAGGATGGGACTAGACGGGATGGATATGACGGAAAGGACGGGATGAAAAGAAACATAATGGAACGGAAAAAAGTGAATTTAGCATATCCCTAATTATATTTAGGGACATGACGGAAAAAAACGGAAAGAACGGGATGAGACTGGACAAAACGGGATGGAACAGTCTCAGACATGATGGGATTGCACGTGACGATACGGACATGGCGAATGGGACGGGAAAGAACGGACATGATAAAAGGAACAAAATGGGAGGAATGAGAAATGATGGTTCAAAATTTTTGCGTAAACTTAATTATATTTAATTTTCGGAAATTTTTGAGTAACCCTAATTATATTTGATTAATATGTGTATGACATTTTTAAAATAATAATAAATCATAGAATTAAATTAAATTTATGAAAAATAATAAAATCAACACAACAATTTCAATTCCCGCGCGAAGCGCGGGTCACCCCTAGTTACAAATAAAAGCAAGTTATAGCAAGAAACAAAGACGGACAAAGCCAACAAGATAGACACAGTTCGCAATTTAACTCAAAGATCCTCGAAGAGAAACACCGGAAATTCATGCTTTTTCCAAATATCCTAAGATCTTGAATTTTGTTGCCGGGAGTCATCGCACCCAAGGCCGTCCTCAAACCTCACAGTTAGCAGCATCTACAGCTTCTCTGAGGACTAGCACAAAAACGAACCACTTCAACGCAAAACTCTAATCCGGCGGCACGGGAGCCTCTTCGAGCTGCCAGAGAAGCCGCCGCCGCCTCTGACCTCTGACCGCCATTCCTGCAAACTACAAGAAACATCTCCTACAGATCACAATAAAGGCTGATAGCTGAACCGCCGCCTCTATTCTACATCGGTTCACTCCAAAAGCTGAACATAGCCGTCTCCTATCAAGCAATTGAGCCACTCTAAAACCTGCAATAAGCCAAAAAAAGAAATGGGAGCTGCTGACGGAGCCACACCAGAGGCTTAACATGAGCATAGATCCGCCGGTCGTCACCACGAGATCCCACACCAATAACAGCCACCGCCCAACAACAACCACCATCAAGAACGACGAGAAAGACGACAGAATAACGAGGCCAAAATTATACCCGACAAGGCAGAACGAGACGGGAAGAAAGGGATGGGGCAATACGAGACGGGAAAAAAAACAGAACGAGGAGGAACGGGGAGGGAAATAGGACATGGAGGAACGAGATGGGAAATAAAACAGGATAGGAGGTAAATTTTGCCTACCTCTTATTATATTTAGAGACGGGACAAGAAGAAACAAAAAGACCAAGATGGGACAAGACAAGACAGGAAAAAACATAATGAGACAGGATGGGACTAGACGGGATGGATATGACGGAAAGGACGGGATGAAAAGAAACATAATGGAACGGAAAAAAGTGAATTTAGCATATCCCTAATTATATTTAGGACATGACGGAAAAAAACGGAAAGAACGGGATGAGACTGGACAAAACGGGATGGAACAGTCTCAGACATGATGGGATTGCACGTGACGATACGAACATGGCGAATGGGACGGGAAAGAACGGACATGATAAAAGGAACAAAATGGGAGGAATGAGAAATGATGGTTCAAAATTTTTGCGTAAACTTAATTATATTTAATTTTCGGAAATTTTTTGAGTAGCCCTAATTATATTTGATTAATATGTGTATGACATTTTTAAAATAATAATAAATCATAGAATTAAATTAAATTTATGAAAAAAATAAAATCAATACAACAATTTCAATTCCCGCGCGAAGCGCGGGTCACCCCTAGTTATAAATAAAAGCAAGTTATAGCAATAAACAAAGACGGACAAAGCCAACAAGATAGACACAGTTCGCAATTTAACTCAAAGATCCTCGAAGAGAAACACCGGAAATTCATGCTTTTTCCAAATATCCTAAGATCTTGAATTTTGTTGCCGGGAGTCATCACACCCAAGGCCGTCCTCAAACCTCACAGTTAGCAGCATCTACAGCTTCTCTGAGGACTAGCACAAAAACGAACCACTTCAACGCAAAACTCTAATCCGGCAGCACGGGAGCCTCTTCGAGCTGCCAGAGAAGCCGCCGCCGCCTCTGACCTCTGACCGCCATTCCTGCAAACTACAAGAAACATCTCCTACAGATCACAATAAAGGCTGATAGCTGAACCGCCGCCTCTATTCTACATCGGTTCACTCCAAGAGCTGAACATAGCCGTCTCCTATCAAGCAATTGAGCAACTCTAAAACCTGCAATAAGCCAAAAACAGAAATGGGAGCTGCTGACAGAGCCACACCAGAGGCTTAACATGAGCATAGATCCGCCGGTCGTCACCACGAGATCCCACACCAATAACAGCCACCGCCGAACAACAACCACCATCAAGAACGACGAGAAAGACGACAGAATAACAAGGCCAAAATTATACCCGACAAGGCAGAACGAGACGGGAAGAAAGGGATGGGGCAATACGAGACGGGAAAAAAAACAAAACGGGGAGGAACGGGGAGGGAAATAGGACAGGGAGGAACGAGATGGGAAATAGAACGGGATAGGAGGTAAATTTTGCCTACCTCTTATTATATTTAGAGACGGGACAAGAAGAAACAAAAAGACCAAGATGGGACAAGACAAGACAGGAAAAAACATAATGAGACAGGATGGGACTAGACGGGATGGATATGACGGAAAGGACGGGATGAAAAGAAACATAATGGAACGGAAAAAAGTGAATTTAGCATATCCCTAATTATATTTAGGGACATGACGGAAAAAAACGGAAAGAACGGGATGAGACTGGACAAAACGGGATGGAACAGTCTCAGACATGATGGGATTGCACGTGAAGATACGAACATGGCGAATGGGACGGGAAAGAACGGACATGATAAAAGGAACAAAATGGGAGGAATGAGAAATGATGGTTCAAAATTTTTGCGTAAACTTAATTATATTTAATTTTCGGAAATTTTTGAGTAGCCCTAATTATATTTGATTAATATGTGTATGACATTTTTAAAATAATAATAAATCATAGAATTAAATTAAATTTATGAAAAAAATAAAATCAATACAACAATTTCAATTCCCGCGCGAAGCGCGGGTCACCCCTAGTTACAAATAAAAGCAAGTTATAGCAAGAAACAAAGACGGACAAAGCCAACAAGATAGACACAGTTCGCAATTTAACTCAAAGATCCTCGAAGAGAAACACCGGAAATTCATGCTTTTTCCAAATATCCTAAGATCTTGAATTTTGTTGCCGGGAGTCATCGCACCCAAGGCCGTCCTCAAACCTCACAGTTAGCAGCATCTACAGCTTCTCTGAGGACTAGCACAAAAACGAACCACTTCAACGCAAAACTCTAATCCGGCAGCACGGGAGCCTCTTCGAGCTGCCAGAGAAGCCGCCGCCGCCTCTGACCTCTGACCGCCATTCCTGCAAACTACAAGAAACATCTCTTACAGATCACAATAAAGGCTGATAGCTGAACCGCCGCCTCTATTCTACATCGGTTCACTCCAAGAGCTGAACATAGCCGTCTCCTATCAAGCAATTGAGCCACTCTAAAACCTGCAATAAGCCAAAAACAGAAATGGGAGCTGCTGACGGAGCCACACCAGAGGCTTAACATGAGCATAGATCCGCCGGTCGTCACCACGAGATCCCACACCAATAACAGCCACCGCCCAACAACAACCACCATCAAGAACGACGAGAAAGACGACAGAATAACGAGGCCAAAATTATACCCGACAAGGCAGAACGAGACGGGAAGAAAGGGATGGGGCAATACGAGACGGGAAAAAAAACAGAACGAGGAGGAACGGGGAGGGAAATAGGACATGGAGGAACGAGATGGGAAATAAAACAGGATAGGAGGTAAATTTTGCCTACCTCTTATTATATTTAGAGACGGGACAAGAAGAAACAAAAAGACCAAGATGGGACAAGACAAGACAGGAAAAAACATAATGAGACAGGATGGGACTAGACGGGATGGATATGACGGAAAGGACGGGATGAAAAGAAACATAATGGAACGGAAAAAAGTGAATTTAGCATATCCCTAATTATATTTAGGACATGACGGAAAAAAACGGAAAGAACGGGATGAGACTGGACAAAACGGGATGGAACAGTCTCAGACATGATGGGATTGCACGTGACGATACGAACATGGCGAATGGGACGGGAAAGAACGGACATGATAAAAGGAACAAAATGGGAGGAATGAGAAATGATGGTTCAAAATTTTTGCGTAAACTTAATTATATTTAATTTTCGGAAATTTTTGAGTAGCCCTAATTATATTTGATTAATATGTGTATGACATTTTTAAAATAATAATAAATCATAGAATTAAATTAAATTTATGAAAAAAATAAAATCAATACAACAATTTCAATTCCCGCGCGAAGCGCGGGTCACCCCTAGTTATAAATAAAAGCAAGTTATAGCAATAAACAAAGACGGACAAAGCCAACAAGATAGACACAGTTCGCAATTTAACTCAAAGATCCTCGAAGAGAAACACCGGAAATTCATGCTTTTTCCAAATATCCTAAGATCTTGAATTTTGTTGCCGGGAGTCATCACACCCAAGGCCGTCCTCAAACCTCACAGTTAGCAGCATCTACAGCTTCTCTGAGGACTAGCACAAAAACGAACCACTTCAACGCAAAACTCTAATCCGGCAGCACGGGAGCCTCTTCGAGCTGCCAGAGAAGCCGCCGCCGCCTCTGACCTCTGACCGCCATTCCTGCAAACTACAAGAAACATCTCCTACAGATCACAATAAAGGCTGATAGCTGAACCGCCGCCTCTATTCTACATCGGTTCACTCCAAGAGCTGAACATAGCCGTCTCCTATCAAGCAATTGAGCCACTCTAAAACCTGCAATAAGCCAAAAACAGAAATGGGAGCTGCTGACAGAGCCACACCAGAGGCTTAACATGAGCATAGATCCGCCGGTCGTCACCACGAGATCCCACACCAATAACAGCCACCGCCCAACAACAACCACCATCAAGAACGACGAGAAAGACGACAGAATAACGAGGCCAAAATTATACCCGACAAGGCAGAACGAGACGGGAAGAAAGGGATGGGGCAATACGAGACGGGAAAAAAAACAGAACGAGGAGGAACGGGGAGGGAAATAGGACATGGAGGAACGAGATGGGAAATAAAACAGGATAGGAGGTAAATTTTGCCTACCTCTTATTATATTTAGAGACGGGACAAGAAGAAACAAAAAGACCAAGATGGGACAAGACAAGACAGGAAAAAACATAATGAGACAGGATGGGACTAGACGGGATGGATATGACGGAAAGGACGGGATGAAAAGAAACATAATGGAACGGAAAAAAGTGAATTTAGCATATCCCTAATTATATTTAAGGACATGACGGAAAAAAACGGAAAGAACGGGATGAGACTGGACAAAACGGGATGGAACAGTCTCAGACATGATGGGATTGCACGTGACGATACGAACATGGCGAATGGGACGGGAAAGAACGGACATGATAAAAGGAACAAAATGGGAGGAATGAGAAATGATGGTTCAAAATTTTTGCGTAAACTTAATTATATTTAATTTTCGAAATTTTTTGAGTAGCCCTAATTATATTTGATTAATATGTGTATGACATTTTTAAAATAATAATAAATCATAGAATTAAATTAAATTTATGAAAAAAATAAAATCAATACAACAATTTCAATTCCCGCGCGAAGCGCGGGTCACCCCTAGTTATAAATAAAAGCAAGTTATAGCAATAAACAAAGACGGACAAAGCCAACAAGATAGACACAGTTCGCAATTTAACTCAAAGATCCTCGAAGAGAAACACCGGAAATTCATGCTTTTTCCAAATATCCTAAGATCTTGAATTTTGTTGCCGGGAGTCATCACACCCAAGGCCGTCCTCAAACCTCACAGTTAGCAGCATCTACAGCTTCTCTGAGGACTAGCACAAAAACGAACCACTTCAACGCAAAACTCTAATCCGGCAGCACGGGAGCCTCTTCGAGCTGCCAGAGAAGCCGCCGCCGCCTCTGACCTCTGACCGCCATTCCTGCAAACTACAAGAAACATCTCCTACAGATCACAATAAAGGCTGATAGCTGAACCGCCGCCTCTATTCTACATCGGTTCACTCCAAGAGCTGAACATAGCCGTCTCCTATCAAGCAATTGAGCAACTCTAAAACCTGCAATAAGCCAAAAACAGAAATGGGAGCTGCTGACAGAGCCACACCAGAGGCTTAACATGAGCATAGATCCGCCGGTCGTCACCACGAGATCCCACACCAATAACAGCCACCGCCGAACAACAACCACCATCAAGAACGACGAGAAAGACGACAGAATAACGAGGCCAAAATTATACCCGACAAGGCAGAACGAGACGGGAAGAAAGGGATGGGGCAATACGAGACGGGAAAAAAAACAGAACGAGGAGGAACGGGGAGGGAAATAGGACAGGGAGGAACGAGATGGGAAATAGAACGGGATAGGAGGTAAATTTTGCCTACCTCTTATTATATTTAGAGACGGGACAAGAAGAAACAAAAAGACCAAGATGGGACAAGACAAGACAGGAAAAAACATAATGAGACAGGATGGGACTAGACGGGATGGATATGACGGAAAGGACGGGATGAAAAGAAACATAATGGAACGGAAAAAAGTGAATTTAGCATATCCCTAATTATATTTAGGGACATGACGGAAAAAAACGGAAAGAACGGGATGAGACTGGACAAAACGGGATGGAACAGTCTCAGACATGATGGGATTGCACGTGACGATACGAACATGGCGAATGGGACGGGAAAGAACGGACATGATAAAAGGAACAAAATGGGAGGAATGAGAAATGATGGTTCAAAATTTTTGCGTAAACTTAATTATATTTAATTTTCGGAAATTTTTGAGTAGCCCTAATTATATTTGATTAATATGTGTATGACATTTTTAAAATAATAATAAATCATAGAATTAAATTAAATTTATGAAAAAAATAAAATCAATACAACAATTTCAATTCCCGCGCGAAGCGCGGGTCACCCCTAGTTACAAATAAAAGCAAGTTATAGCAAGAAACAAAGACGGACAAAGCCAACAAGATAGACACAGTTCGCAATTTAACTCAAAGATCCTCGAAGAGAAACACCGGAAATTCATGCTTTTTCCAAATATCCTAAGATCTTGAATTTTGTTGCCGGGAGTCATCGCACCCAAGGCCGTCCTCAAACCTCACAGTTAGCAGCATCTACAGCTTCTCTGAGGACTAGCACAAAAACGAACCACTTCAACGCAAAACTCTAATCCGGCAGCACGGGAGCCTCTTCGAGCTGCCAGAGAAGCCGCCGCCGCCTCTGACCTCTGACCGCCATTCCTGCAAACTACAAGAAACATCTCCTACAGATCACAATAAAGGCTGATAGCTGAACCGCCGCCTCTATTCTACATCGGTTCACTCCAAGAGCTGAACATAGCCGTCTCCTATCAAGCAATTGAGCCACTCTAAAACCTGCAATAAGCCAAAAACAGAAATGGGAGCTGCTGACGGAGCCACACCAGAGGCTTAACATGAGCATAGATCCGCCGGTCGTCACCACGAGATCCCACACCAATAACAGCCACCGCCCAACAACAACCACCATCAAGAACGACGAGAAAGACGACAGAATAACGAGGCCAAAATTATACCCGACAAGGCAGAACGAGACGGGAAGAAAGGGATGGGGCAATACGAGACGGGAAAAAAAACAGAACGAGGAGGAACGGGGAGGGAAATAGGACATGGAGGAACGAGATGGGAAATAAAACAGGATAGGAGGTAAATTTTGCCTACCTCTTATTATATTTAGAGACGGGACAAGAAGAAACAAAAAGACCAAGATGGGACAAGACAAGACAGGAAAAAACATAATGAGACAGGATGGGACTAGACGGGATGGATATGACGGAAAGGACGGGATGAAAAGAAACATAATGGAACGGAAAAAAGTGAATTTAGCATATCCCTAATTATATTTAGGGACATGACGGAAAAAAACGGAAAGAACGGGATGAGACTGGACAAAACGGGATGGAACAGTCTCAGACATGATGGGATTGCACGTGAAGATACGAACATGGCGAATGGGACGGGAAAGAACGGACATGATAAAAGGAACAAAATGGGAGGAATGAGAAATGATGGTTCAAAATTTTTGCGTAAACTTAATTATATTTAATTTTCGGAAATTTTTGAGTAGCCCTAATTATATTTGATTAATATGTGTATGACATTTTTAAAATAATAATAAATCATAGAATTAAATTAAATTTATGAAAAAAATAAAATCAATACAACAATTTCAATTCCCGCGCGAAGCGCGGGTCACCCCTAGTTACAAATAAAAGCAAGTTATAGCAAGAAACAAAGACGGACAAAGCCAACAAGATAGACACAGTTCGCAATTTAACTCAAAGATCCTCGAAGAGAAACACCGGAAATTCATGCTTTTTCCAAATATCCTAAGATCTTGAATTTTGTTGCCGGGAGTCATCGCACCCAAGGCCGTCCTCAAACCTCACAGTTAGCAGCATCTACAGCTTCTCTGAGGACTAGCACAAAAACGAACCACTTCAACGCAAAACTCTAATCCGGCAGCACGGGAGCCTCTTCGAGCTGCCAGAGAAGCCGCCGCCGCCTCTGACCTCTGACCGCCATTCCTGCAAACTACAAGAAACATCTCTTACAGATCACAATAAAGGCTGATAGCTGAACCGCCGCCTCTATTCTACATCGGTTCACTCCAAGAGCTGAACATAGCCGTCTCCTATCAAGCAATTGAGCCACTCTAAAACCTGCAATAAGCCAAAAACAGAAATGGGAGCTGCTGACGGAGCCACACCAAGGCTTAACATGAGCATAGATCCGCCGGTCGTCACCACGAGATCCCACACCAATAACAGCCACCGCCCAACAACAACCACCATCAAGAACGACGAGAAAGACGACAGAATAACGAGGCCAAAATTATACCCGACAAGGCAGAACGAGACGGGAAGAAAGGGATGGGGCAATACGAGACGGGAAAAAAAACAGAACGAGGAGGAACGGGGAGGGAAATAGGACATGGAGGAACGAGATGGGAAATAAAACAGGATAGGAGGTAAATTTTGCCTACCTCTTATTATATTTAGAGACGGGACAAGAAGAAACAAAAAGACCAAGATGGGACAAGACAAGACAGGAAAAAACATAATGAGACAGGATGGGACTAGACGGGATGGATATGACGGAAAGGACGGGATGAAAAGAAACATAATGGAACGGAAAAAAGTGAATTTAGCATATCCCTAATTATATTTAAGGACATGACGGAAAAAAACGGAAAGAACGGGATGAGACTGGACAAAACGGGATGGAACAGTCTCAGACATGATGGGATTGCACGTGACGATACGAACATGGCGAATGGGACGGGAAAGAACGGACATGATAAAAGGAACAAAATGGGAGGAATGAGAAATGATGGTTCAAAATTTTTGCGTAAACTTAATTATATTTAATTTTCGAAATTTTTTGAGTAGCCCTAATTATATTTGATTAATATGTGTATGACATTTTTAAAATAATAATAAATCATAGAATTAAATTAAATTTATGAAAAAAATAAAATCAATACAACAATTTCAATTCCCGCGCGAAGCGCGGGTCACCCCTAGTTATAAATAAAAGCAAGTTATAGCAATAAACAAAGACGGACAAAGCCAACAAGATAGACACAGTTCGCAATTTAACTCAAAGATCCTCGAAGAGAAACACCGGAAATTCATGCTTTTTCCAAATATCCTAAGATCTTGAATTTTGTTGCCGGGAGTCATCACACCCAAGGCCGTCCTCAAACCTCACAGTTAGCAGCATCTACAGCTTCTCTGAGGACTAGCACAAAAACGAACCACTTCAACGCAAAACTCTAATCCGGCAGCACGGGAGCCTCTTCGAGCTGCCAGAGAAGCCGCCGCCGCCTCTGACCTCTGACCGCCATTCCTGCAAACTACAAGAAACATCTCCTACAGATCACAATAAAGGCTGATAGCTGAACCGCCGCCTCTATTCTACATCGGTTCACTCCAAGAGCTGAACATAGCCGTCTCCTATCAAGCAATTGAGCAACTCTAAAACCTGCAATAAGCCAAAAACAGAAATGGGAGCTGCTGACAGAGCCACACCAGAGGCTTAACATGAGCATAGATCCGCCGGTCGTCACCACGAGATCCCACACCAATAACAGCCACCGCCGAACAACAACCACCATCAAGAACGACGAGAAAGACGACAGAATAACAAGGCCAAAATTATACCCGACAAGGCAGAACGAGACGGGAAGAAAGGGATGGGGCAATACGAGACGGGAAAAAAAACAGAACGAGGAGGAACGGGGAGGGAAATAGGACAGGGAGGAACGAGATGGGAAATAGAACGGGATAGGAGGTAAATTTTGCCTACCTCTTATTATATTTAGAGACGGGACAAGAAGAAACAAAAAGACCAAGATGGGACAAGACAAGACAGGAAAAAACATAATGAGACAGGATGGGACTAGACGGGATGGATATGACGGAAAGGACGGGATGAAAAGAAACATAATGGAACGGAAAAAAGTGAATTTAGCATATCCCTAATTATATTTAGGGACATGACGGAAAAAAACGGAAAGAACGGGATGAGACTGGACAAAACGGGATGGAACAGTCTCAGACATGATGGGATTGCACGTGAAGATACGAACATGGCGAATGGGACGGGAAAGAACGGACATGATAAAAGGAACAAAATGGGAGGAATGAGAAATGATGGTTCAAAATTTTTGCGTAAACTTAATTATATTTAATTTTCGGAAATTTTTGAGTAGCCCTAATTATATTTGATTAATATGTGTATGACATTTTTAAAATAATAATAAATCATAGAATTAAATTAAATTTATGAAAAAAATAAAATCAATACAACAATTTCAATTCCCGCGCGAAGCGCGGGTCACCCCTAGTTACAAATAAAAGCAAGTTATAGCAAGAAACAAAGACGGACAAAGCCAACAAGATAGACACAGTTCGCAATTTAACTCAAAGATCCTCGAAGAGAAACACCGGAAATTCATGCTTTTTCCAAATATCCTAAGATCTTGAATTTTGTTGCCGGGAGTCATCGCACCCAAGGCCGTCCTCAAACCTCACAGTTAGCAGCATCTACAGCTTCTCTGAGGACTAGCACAAAAACGAACCACTTCAACGCAAAACTCTAATCCGGCAGCACGGGAGCCTCTTCGAGCTGCCAGAGAAGCCGCCGCCGCCTCTGACCTCTGACCGCCATTCCTGCAAACTACAAGAAACATCTCTACAGATCACAATAAAGGCTGATAGCTGAACCGCCGCCTCTATTCTACATCGGTTCACTCCAAGAGCTGAACATAGCCGTCTCCTATCAAGCAATTGAGCCACTCTAAAACCTGCAATAAGCCAAAAACAGAAATGGGAGCTGCTGACGGAGCCACACCAGAGGCTTAACATGAGCATAGATCCGCCGGTCGTCACCACGAGATCCCACACCAATAACAGCCACCGCCCAACAACAACCACCATCAAGAACGACGAGAAAGACGACAGAATAACGAGGCCAAAATTATACCCGACAAGGCAGAACGAGACGGGAAGAAAGGGATGGGGCAATACGAGACGGGAAAAAAAACAGAACGAGGAGGAACGGGGAGGGAAATAGGACATGGAGGAACGAGATGGGAAATAAAACAGGATAGGAGGTAAATTTTGCCTACCTCTTATTATATTTAGAGACGGGACAAGAAGAAACAAAAAGACCAAGATGGGACAAGACAAGACAGGAAAAAACATAATGAGACAGGATGGGACTAGACGGGATGGATATGACGGAAAGGACGGGATGAAAAGAAACATAATGGAACGGAAAAAAGTGAATTTAGCATATCCCTAATTATATTTAGGGACATGACGGAAAAAAACGGAAAGAACGGGATGAGACTGGACAAAACGGGATGGAACAGTCTCAGACATGATGGGATTGCACGTGAAGATACGAACATGGCGAATGGGACGGGAAAGAACGGACATGATAAAAGGAACAAAATGGGAGGAATGAGAAATGATGGTTCAAAATTTTTGCGTAAACTTAATTATATTTAATTTTCGGAAATTTTTGAGTAGCCCTAATTATATTTGATTAATATGTGTATGACATTTTTAAAATAATAATAAATCATAGAATTAAATTAAATTTATGAAAAAAATAAAATCAATACAACAATTTCAATTCCCGCGCGAAGCGCGGGTCACCCCTAGTTACAAATAAAAGCAAGTTATAGCAAGAAACAAAGACGGACAAAGCCAACAAGATAGACACAGTTCGCAATTTAACTCAAAGATCCTCGAAGAGAAACACCGGAAATTCATGCTTTTTCCAAATATCCTAAGATCTTGAATTTTGTTGCCGGGAGTCATCGCACCCAAGGCCGTCCTCAAACCTCACAGTTAGCAGCATCTACAGCTTCTCTGAGGACTAGCACAAAAACGAACCACTTCAACGCAAAACTCTAATCCGGCAGCACGGGAGCCTCTTCGAGCTGCCAGAGAAGCCGCCGCCGCCTCTGACCTCTGACCGCCATTCCTGCAAACTACAAGAAACATCTCTTACAGATCACAATAAAGGCTGATAGCTGAACCGCCGCCTCTATTCTACATCGGTTCACTCCAAGAGCTGAACATAGCCGTCTCCTATCAAGCAATTGAGCCACTCTAAAACCTGCAATAAGCCAAAAACAGAAATGGGAGCTGCTGACGGAGCCACACCAGAGGCTTAACATGAGCATAGATCCGCCGGTCGTCACCACGAGATCCCACACCAATAACAGCCACCGCCCAACAACAACCACCATCAAGAACGACGAGAAAGACGACAGAATAACGAGGCCAAAATTATACCCGACAAGGCAGAACGAGACGGGAAGAAAGGGATGGGGCAATACGAGACGGGAAAAAAAACAGAACGAGGAGGAACGGGGAGGGAAATAGGACATGGAGGAACGAGATGGGAAATAAAACAGGATAGGAGGTAAATTTTGCCTACCTCTTATTATATTTAGAGACGGGACAAGAAGAAACAAAAAGACCAAGATGGGACAAGACAAGACAGGAAAAAACATAATGAGACAGGATGGGACTAGACGGGATGGATATGACGGAAAGGACGGGATGAAAAGAAACATAATGGAACGGAAAAAAGTGAATTTAGCATATCCCTAATTATATTTAAGGACATGACGGAAAAAAACGGAAAGAACGGGATGAGACTGGACAAAACGGGATGGAACAGTCTCAGACATGATGGGATTGCACGTGACGATACGAACATGGCGAATGGGACGGGAAAGAACGGACATGATAAAAGGAACAAAATGGGAGGAATGAGAAATGATGGTTCAAAATTTTTGCGTAAACTTAATTATATTTAATTTTCGAAATTTTTTGAGTAGCCCTAATTATATTTGATTAATATGTGTATGACATTTTTAAAATAATAATAAATCATAGAATTAAATTAAATTTATGAAAAAAATAAAATCAATACAACAATTTCAATTCCCGCGCGAAGCGCGGGTCACCCCTAGTTATAAATAAAAGCAAGTTATAGCAATAAACAAAGACGGACAAAGCCAACAAGATAGACACAGTTCGCAATTTAACTCAAAGATCCTCGAAGAGAAACACCGGAAATTCATGCTTTTTCCAAATATCCTAAGATCTTGAATTTTGTTGCCGGGAGTCATCACACCCAAGGCCGTCCTCAAACCTCACAGTTAGCAGCATCTACAGCTTCTCTGAGGACTAGCACAAAAACGAACCACTTCAACGCAAAACTCTAATCCGGCAGCACGGGAGCCTCTTCGAGCTGCCAGAGAAGCCGCCGCCGCCTCTGACCTCTGACCGCCATTCCTGCAAACTACAAGAAACATCTCCTACAGATCACAATAAAGGCTGATAGCTGAACCGCCGCCTCTATTCTACATCGGTTCACTCCAAGAGCTGAACATAGCCGTCTCCTATCAAGCAATTGAGCAACTCTAAAACCTGCAATAAGCCAAAAACAGAAATGGGAGCTGCTGACAGAGCCACACCAGAGGCTTAACATGAGCATAGATCCGCCGGTCGTCACCACGAGATCCCACACCAATAACAGCCACCGCCCAACAACAACCACCATCAAGAACGACGAGAAAGACGACAGAATAACGAGGCCAAAATTATACCCGACAAGGCAGAACGAGACGGGAAGAAAGGGATGGGGCAATACGAGACGGGAAAAAAAACAGAACGAGGAGGAACGGGGAGGGAAATAGGACATGGAGGAACGAGATGGGAAATAGAACGGGATAGGAGGTAAATTTTGCCTACCTCTTATTATATTTAGAGACGGGACAAGAAGAAACAAAAAGACCAAGATGGGACAAGACAAGACAGGAAAAAACATAATGAGACAGGATGGGACTAGACGGGATGGATATGACGGAAAGGACGGGATGAAAAGAAACATAATGGAACGGAAAAAAGTGAATTTAGCATATCCCTAATTATATTTAGGGACATGACGGAAAAAAACGGAAAGAACGGGATGAGACTGGACAAAACGGGATGGAACAGTCTCAGACATGATGGGATTGCACGTGACGATACGACATGGCGAATGGGACGGGAAAGAACGGACATGATAAAAGGAACAAAATGGGAGGAATGAGAAATGATGGTTCAAAATTTTTGCGTAAACTTAATTATATTTAATTTTCGGAAATTTTTGAGTAGCCCTAATTATATTTGATTAATATGTGTATGACATTTTTAAAATAATAATAAATCATAGAATTAAATTAAATTTATGAAAAAAATAAAATCAATACAACAATTTCAATTCCCGCGCGAAGCGCGGGTCACCCCTAGTTACAAATAAAAGCAAGTTATAGCAAGAAACAAAGACGGACAAAGCCAACAAGATAGACACAGTTCGCAATTTAACTCAAAGATCCTCGAAGAGAAACACCGGAAATTCATGCTTTTTCCAAATATCCTAAGATCTTGAATTTTGTTGCCGGGAGTCATCACACCCAAGGCCGTCCTCAAACCTCACAGTTAGCAGCATCTACAGCTTCTCTGAGGACTAGCACAAAAACGAACCACTTCAACGCAAAACTCTAATCCGGCAGCACGGGAGCCTCTTCGAGCTGCCAGAGAAGCCGCCGCCGCCTCTGACCTCTGACCGCCATTCCTGCAAACTACAAGAAACATCTCCTACAGATCACAATAAAGGCTGATAGCTGAACCGCCGCCTCTATTCTACATCGGTTCACTCCAAGAGCTGAACATAGCCGTCTCCTATCAAGCAATTGAGCCACTCTAAAACCTGCAATAAGCCAAAAACAGAAATGGGAGCTGCTGACGGAGCCACACCAGAGGCTTAACATGAGCATAGATCCGCCGGTCGTCACCACGAGATCCCACACCAATAACAGCCACCGCCCAACAACAACCACCATCAAGAACGACGAGAAAGACGACAGAATAACGAGGCCAAAATTATACCCGACAAGGCAGAACGAGACGGGAAGAAAGGGATGGGGCAATACGAGACGGGAAAAAAAACAGAACGAGGAGGAACGGGGAGGGAAATAGGACAGGGAGGAACGAGATGGGAAATAGAACGGGATAGGAGGTAAATTTTGCCTACCTCTTATTATATTTAGAGACGGGACAAGAAGAAACAAAAAGACCAAGATGGGACAAGACAAGACAGGAAAAAACATAATGAGACAGGATGGGACTAGACGGGATGGATATGACGGAAAGGACGGGATGAAAAGAAACATAATGGAACGGAAAAAAGTGAATTTAGCATATCCCTAATTATATTTAGGGACATGACGGAAAAAAACGGAAAGAACGGGATGAGACTGGACAAAACGGGATGGAACAGTCTCAGACATGATGGGATTGCACGTGACGATACGGACATGGCGAATGGGACGGGAAAGAACGGACATGATAAAAGGAACAAAATGGGAGGAATGAGAAATGATGGTTCAAAATTTTTGCGTAAACTTAATTATATTTAATTTTCGGAAATTTTTGAGTAGCCCTAATTATATTTGATTAATATGTGTATGACATTTTTAAAATAATAATAAATCATAGAATTAAATTAAATTTATGAAAAAAATAAAATCAATACAACAATTTCAATTCCCGCGCGAAGCGCGGGTCACCCCTAGTTACAAATAAAAGCAAGTTATAGCAAGAAACAAAGACGGACAAAGCCAACAAGATAGACACAGTTCGCAATTTAACTCAAAGATCCTCGAAGAGAAACACCGGAAATTCATGCTTTTTCCAAATATCCTAAGATCTTGAATTTTGTTGCCGGGAGTCATCGTACCCAAGGCCGTCCTCAAACCTCACAGTTAGCAGCATCTACAGCTTCTCTGAGGACTAGCACAAAAACGAACCACTTCAACGCAAAACTCTAATCCGGCGGCACGGGAGCCTCTTCGAGCTGCCAGAGAAGCCGCCTCTGACCTCTGACCGCCATTCCTGCAAACTACAAGAAACATCTCCTACAGATCACAATAAAGGCTGATAGCTGAACCGCCGCCTCTATTCTACATCGGTTTACTCCAAGAGCTGAACATAGCCGTCTCCTATCAAGCAATTGAGCCACTCTAAAACCTGCAATAAGCCAAAAACAGAAACGGGAGCTGCTGATGGAGCCACACTAGAGGCTTAACATGAGCATAGATCCGCCGGTCGTCACCACGAGATCCCACACCAATAACAGCCACCGCCCAACAACAACCACCATCAAGAACGACGAGAAAGACGACAGAAGGAGCCACTTCTCCAATTCACAAGAGACCAAACCGCCGCTACCCTTGAAGACGCCTCAGAATAAAAATGAAACTAGAATCAAATCATTAAATATCGTTGTTGAGATACAAAAGATGATGTTGATGGATCAAACTCCGATGCATGCTATTCCATAATCATAGTGCATGATACTCCCTAACCGACTACCATAAATCTCCATTGCCATCGAGTAGAGAAGATGCTGAAACCCTCTATACATAGATTCTCTGAAGATGAGAACATGATGTTCAAGTGACAAACAAATGATAACTAGAGTAAATATCAAACTCTGGTTAGGTTATACTTTTGGGACCACAAGGAGGAGCCACTTGCTTTTTTCTTGTTGTGGATTCAAACGGATCGTGCCTCAAGACCGGAAAACGCAAACACATCTAAAGCAAGCTATTTTGGCGTTTGGCGTTTTGCTTTAGGTCTGAGCTGTCTCCACTATAAAAGTGATGCTGAAGACATGAGAGAGAGGTAGAGCACACAAATGGAAGATGAAGAGAGAAAGCCATTGTTAAAGGCATAAGCTTTTATCGATCTCTCTTGTAGAACATAGGTAGATACAAAAGAGTGTTCATGAGTGATATGATGAGTGTAACACTTGTATCTATGTTCTCCTTCTAGTGGATTCCGAGCAGAGTCTCGGCCAGACGTAGCGACCCTCGTTAATGGGCGTGAACTGGTTAAATTGTGTGTGTGCTCCCTTCTTCTTCTCTCTTTCTCTTAATCTCTCTTTGCTCTGTTTTTCCTGCGACTCTCTGTTTTAACATCAAACAACTTCGTATCTTGGTCTGAGCTGGGATTTATGCTCTTAAAAGAGACGCCTTTGAGCCTCTAAATCCTAACAGATTCTATGTCATCCATAATCTCTTTCTTATTGTAGAAAAATCTCGGGAAGATTCCCACCGTCTTTAAACACTTAGAGTTTGCGAGGATATACTCCAAGAATTGTTTCTCTTCGCTTCTTCCTTCGTAAGCTTTCCACTCGAAAATCTCAAGATAAGACAACAAGCATACCGGTACTGAACTGGGTTTGTTCCACGAAAGCAGGACAAAATAATTGGTGTAATACTGAGAAAGCAACAAGAAGAGTTTCTAAGCATCAGTTTCCTTTAAATTGTTAAGCAAACTTGTTTGAGAGAGAGGGAAGGTACTTACAGAGTCGATCATAAGAACTTTCAGTACAGGAGAGTTATCAAGTAAAAGCATCAGTGGTTCCAACCAAAACTTTGAGCCAAAAAGAGCCAGCTTAAACTCTATGAGCCATGTGAAGTTAATGCCGCTACAACACGCAATCTGCAACGGAATGAAACTAATACAAATAAGTGAAACAAAATACAAAAAAGGGGAAATTTCAAAACTACACCCTTTGGATGCACATTTTCAAAACTACACTTTTTCGTTGAATAAAACAACTCTAAACCCAAAATATAAACTTTAAACCCCCAAATCTAAACGCTAATTAGAGATTAGTGAACCCAAACTTAAATGTTAAATTTAGAAAAAGTGTAATTTTCAAAATTAACACCATAGAAGTGTAGTTTTAAAAATTAACACCATGAAGTGTATTTCTTAAAAAAATTCAAAAAAAAAAGAGCAATGAGATCACACGGAGAAAAGGATATTCAAAATGGTTACCTTCCTCAAATTCAAATCGAAAAACCTGACAGAAGAAAAAGATCTCAGAAACATGAAGTTCTGGTGAAAACCAGCCGTATTAACAACATCGACCAACGGCACATCAAGCCCTAGCGTATTCTGGATCGAGTGAAAATCTCCTAAAAGATCATAGACCCTAAGGTAATGTAATCCAGGGGAGTCTATAACCAATGACCTACTAGAATGAGAATCTTCATCAGTTTTGTCGAATTAATCAGTTAATCAGATTTAGACATATATAAGTCTTTCTATATTGTATAAAAATAAAAATAAAAATAAAACAAATTAATTTATTTTTCATATCATGAATTAAAAAAAAAATCAATTACAATAAAAACGTGAAAAGGTTACTGATCTTATTTTATTTAAATATTTTTTATCGGGGCTTTAATATTATTCTGCTTACTTTAAAAATGATCAAATTTGTTTAATACATTTCTATGATTTTATTACAAAATTTAAAAATAAACCCGCGTATACGCGTGCCTTAATCTAATATACTGTATATATAAAGTTCATGTGATTCTCTTCTCAAGTTGCCACCTCAGCAAAAGAGGATGCCTTTAAATTCATCATTTCAACACAAACATTTAATATATCATTTTTTCTCTTTTTTTTTTTAATTTTTGTAATAGTTATCATTCATTAAATAGGTTTAACAAAAATATGAAAAGTCATTTACAAAAAGGAAAAAGATTTTATATAAATTTATAAAAAATATTATTTAATAATAATAATAAAAATAAAAATATATTATACAAAACACTGTTTTTCTATAGTATTTTTGGATGAAAAGAGACGAGATTGAATATGACGAAGAAAAAAAAATAGAACCGGAGAAGAGGGAAATTTTGTTTACTTCTTGTGATAATAAGTGACGAGACGAGATATAAAGGAATAGAAAACAAACGGAATAGGACAAGACGGAAATTTTGCCTACGTCTAATTATATTTAGGGGTGGAACGGAAAAATGAATAAACATGATGAGAGAGGACAAGACAGAAATGTTGGACGAGACAAAATAAAAAGAAATGGAATGTGACATAATTTTTCCTACCCTTAATTATAGTTAGAGACAAGATAGAGATAAAACAAAATGGAAATGAACATAATAAGATATGATCGTACTGGTCCACATAATGAACGGGATGAAAAAGAACATGACAAGAAGAAAAGGAACATAATGAGATAGAATTATGTCTACACCTAATTATATTTAGGAATGAGACACTAGTAAACAAAATGGAAAGAATCATAATAAGATAGGATAGGATAGGACTGAACGGGACTGGACATACTGGACGAACGAGATGAGAAAAAACGTACATGATGAAAATGAACGAAATGGGACGAGATGGAATAAGATGGTACGAAAATTTTGCCTAATTCTAATAATATTTAAGTAATATGTATATAATATATTTGAAACAATATTAAATTTGCAGAAAAACAATAAAACTAACACAACCCGTGCAGCTTGGGTCACCCCTAGTAACCTATAAATTGTGAGAACTCTAGTCAAAAAGTCTGCTAAATAACAAAATCTTAAATTTAAAGTTTATATCGTTATTTTTTTTTTTTTTTCATTTGGAAGATATATTTATTAACTTGAGGATAAAAGATCACAATGTAAAACATCGGATAGGAACCAACGTACATAATTAAAATAAATTGAACTCTGTGATGCCGACAATTATCTTTTGGCAAGTGCATCTACAGCTTTATTGGCTTCTCTTGGGACCCAAGTAAAAACAACTTCCTGGAACTTACTCTTCCAAAACTTGTTTCCCCTGTTGGCAGATAGCATGATACTAGTTTCCAAAGGATGTGTGATCTTTGGTGTTGTTAGTAGTCTCCAGATAGCATTGTTAAGTAGGCGATTTGATATCTTTATTATCTGTAAAAGTGTAGCTAACCAATATGCAGATTTGACCGAGTAATGCCAATCCTCTTGTAGTGCCATCCGAGAATATTCTCTTGATCTTGCGACATAACCAATGGTATATCTGCATCACATATTAAATCCCTTATGTTATCTTCATTCCAGCCTGTATATGTGGAGTTAATCCAATCCTTAAGTAAACAGTGATTAACATCTTCAGTTCTTGGAACTAGGGCTCTCTCTGGATGAGTTGGTAACCAAGGATCCATCCAGGCACTCATAGCATTCCCATTTCCAACCACAAATCTCATCCCCTTTTTCATCAGTAAGTCACGACCTTGATGAATTGACCTTCAGGCGAAAGAACTTTTCCTTTTCACAGTAGCATTAAAAAGGTTACCTTCTCGATAGTATCTTCCTCGCATCACTCGAGCCTTTAAGCAATCTAGTTTTAGCCATAGTCTGCAGGCTTGTTTTCCAAGTTGAAGCTTTGAATATCTCTAAAACGTAGCCATCCCTCTTTCTTTGGTAATCATAATCTTTTCCATGTGAACCAATGCATACCTTTCCTTCCATAATTATTTTCACCAAACTTTTGTCAAAACATTATTCATTTCCTCATAGATACCAACTGGTAACGTTCATCGAGTAGACTGGCATTGCTTATGTCAGCCTTGAGTCGGCCGTTCTTTAACTTTGTCAACTAAATACTGAAACATTTCCGGGTTTGTTCTCCCAAACTGTTCCGAAACTCCCAGATATCTGCCTCCTCCGTCTTCATTATGGATTCCCAATGTTCTCCTCGATTGACTTTTTACATGTCGTTGAACCATACTTCCAAACGTGATCGTTGACTTCCTTAAGTTTACAGCCAGCCAAACTAGATGCCATTTCATAAAATTGCTGAGTGGTGTCTTTTCTCGTAAATTGGTTGTAAAAGTTATTTTGATTCTGTTACTTTAAAAATTCAGATTTTTTAGTTTTTTTTTTACCAAAAAATTCAATTGTTTGATTATGTCAGACTCACTGCTATTCTTTTAATATAATCATCTTATTATATAAAGCTGGATGCGCGCGACGTGGTTGCGACACGTAGGATTTTTATAAAATTTAGGATTGCGACATGTGTCACTTTTAATGTTATGTCCGTTAAGATCGTGACATGTGTCTTAGAAAAAAAAAAAAATTAAAAAAAAAATAGATAAAGGAAAAAAACGAAATTTTAATCTTTTATAGTTAAAAGAAAAAAAAATTATATTTGTCATATCCTAATAGAAAAAGGTTTCTCATTCATCAAATTTATATTATCCAAACACATATAAGATTCAAATTAATGAAATAAATAAAATCCTATTAGTACATGAAATAGGTTAGGTAAACTAAATTTCCTATAACTGCATGGAATAAGTTACATGAACCCCTATAAAAAGAGAGTTAAAGTAGTCTTTTTTTTCTCATTCACAAACTCATCAAAGCAAACAACATGATAAAATGTATTTGATTTTATAACTTGGAAAAATGTTAAACGATATAAAAATAGAAAAATAATAAAAAAAACTAACTAATAATGAAAATGAAAATTTATAATGGTCTGAGTCAAAAACAAAATTGAGAAAGAAACAATATAAATAGAAAACTAACAAATTAATTATCAAGCAACTAACTTGACATCATCAAGCAACTAACTAATATTAAGAAAATATAATGAACCGATATTCTAATTTTAAATAGTTTAATTTTCAATATTGTTAGGTAAAAAATTATTAAATAAAGATTTCATCAATTGAAATCTCTTGAATGGAATAATAAAGTTTTGTTGAATTAATTAATCAGTTGATCATATTTAGACATATATAAGTCTTTCTATATTGGATAAAAATAAAAATAAAACAAATTAATTCATTTTTCATATCATGAATTCAAAAAAAATATCAATTACAATAAAAACGTAAAAAGGTTACCGATCTTATTTTATTTAAATATTTTTATCGGGTTTTTAATATTATTCTGTTTACTTTAAAATGATCAAATTTGGTTTAATACTTTTCCATGATTTTATTACAAAATCTTAAAATAAACCCGCGTATACGCGGGTCTTAATCTAGTATTATATAAAGCTGGATGCGCGCGTGGTTGCGACACGTAGGATTTTTATAAAATTTAGGATTGCGACATGTGTCACTTTTAATGTTATGTCCGTTAAGATCGTGACATGTGTCTTAGAAAAAAGGAAAAAAATAATAATTAAAAAAAATAGATAAAGGAAAAAAAACGAAATTTTAATCTTTTATAGTTAAAAGAAAAAAAAATTATATTTGTCATATCCTAATAGAAAAAGGTTTCCCATTCATCAAATTTATATTATCCAAACACATATAAGATTCAAATTAATGAAATAAATAAAATCCTATTAGTACATGAAATAGGTTAGGTAAACTAAATTTCCTATAACTGCATGGAATAAGTTACATGAACCCCTATAAAAAGAGAGTTAAAGTAGTTTTTTTCTCATTTACAAACTCATCAAAGCAAACAACATGATAGCAATACGCATGATTTTTATAACTCACAAAATTGCGATATGTGTTTATATTCCCATTATGAACAGGAAAAAAAACAATATATAATAAGCTATTGCGATTCAATTATGTGCTTCTATCTTTTGTATAATCTTTTCTCTCATAAAAAATCATGTATTTAAAATTCATGGTATCAATGAATAATATTTAACTCTATATTAGTTGGATAGAAATCAAAATTATTGTCGATACATGTATCTAACTCTATATCGGTTGGATAGAAATCAAAATTATTGTCGTTACATGTATTTGATCCGGTGAAGACATGTTAATTGGAAAAATGTTAAACAGATATAAAAACTAGAAAAAAAAAAAAACTAACTAATAATGAAAATGAAAATTTATAATGGTCTGAGTCAAAAACAAAATTGAGAAAGAAACAATATAAATAGAAAACTAACAAATTAATTATCAAGCAACTAACTTTTTTTTTGACATCATCAAGCAACTAACTAATATTAAGAAAATATAATGAACCGATATTCTAATTTTAAATAGTTTAATTTTCAATATTGTTAGGTAAAAAATTATTAAATAAAGATTTCATCAATTGAAATCTCTTGAATGGAATAATAAAGTTTTGTTGAATTAATTAATCAGTTGATCATATTTAGACATATATAAGTCTTTCTATATTGGATAAAAATAAAAATAAAACAAATTAATTCATTTTTCATATCATGAATTCAAAAAAAATATCAATTACAATAAAAACGTAAAAAGGTTACCGATCTTATTTTATTTAAATATTTTTATCGGGTTTTTAATATTATTCTGTTTACTTTAAAATGATCAAATTTGGTTTAATACTTTTCCATGATTTTATTACAAAATCTTAAAATAAACCCGTATGCGGGTCTTAATCTAGTGATAAATAAAAATAAAAAGCAAAAGTAAGAAGAAAGCTAACCAAACCTCAACAAAGAAGATCATTGGTCGAAGTTATGGTGCTACAATATTCATAGACTTGAGTAATTGTGTAATACATTCATTAGTTTAATTAGTGCTACAAACTACACTATATTAATCATAGAGTTGAGTTGCAAGGCAGACGCTTTCAAACAAATAATCAACACAGCAAAAACTCATGTGCCTCTCCAGGTGGTGACACATTAGCTTTTTTAAGCTTCCTGGAGATGACACATCATTTAAAACACTCACTTAGTAGAAACATTTGGATTAATACCAGTTAGCACTTTTTTGGTTTAAGTCTACCACGTTTTTCTTTACTCCGGTTTCGAGTTACTGAATTGATTTATTCTATTTTTTAAATCTCCTCTCCGGTTACTATTGTTCTTCTTCCGACGAAACGACTTCTTCTTCCGACGAAAGACTTATTCTATAGATTTCTTTACTCCATTAATTCTTCTCAAACGTCTCTTCATATGATTTGCTTTTTAAATTGGATCGGCGCCTGAGATTTCGAGCTCCAGACATGTGTGCTTCGTGCTCGTTCTTCGCCGATTCAACAACTAACTTCTATCAAATCGGCGTGGAGATCCCACTGGTGTGACGACAAACCGCAGATTCTTCACTTCCGGCTTGATTTCGTCGATGTGTGATTTCTGGCACTGGTAATTTTGATAGAAGTTACAAGATTCTTAATGAATTGGTTCTGAAGCTCCTCTCGAAATGGTAAAGTTTTGCATTTTAATCTTCTTTTGTTTAAATATGCTTTTTTCTCGTGATGAAAGAACAGAGTTACGAACACGGATCCAAATTCTGCATCATGATAGCAGAAAACTTGTTTTGGTGTCTTCAAACTTGTGTTCCACCAAAGACTACAAATACCTTTTTATAAGAGCTTGAACATCTCTTCACTCTGTGTTTTTCAGGTGTGGAGTTATTTGATGTGAATATAAAGGAGCAGAATGTGACTGTCAAAGGCAACGTCCAGCCAGAAGTGGTTTTGCAGACTGTTTAAAAAACAGGAAAGAAATCAGCTTTCTGGGAATCCGAAGCTGAATCCGCCAAGGCCTAAGGAAGAATCAGAGCATTTCTTGTGACTCTGTTTTAATAAAATCTCTATTGGTATCCCTTTGTGTTACTTCTCTTTCCTGTGTGTGACTTGTTGTTAAGCATTGCTCTCTGGAGTGTTGTCTTCTGAAATAACATTGATTGATCAGACCTATCATGTTCAGAAGAGCACCAATAATGAATGCATTACATGTGGCTTTTGTTGGTTTATCATAGAAAGAAATTCTCAGACGACCTTATTCTATCAACGGAGACTAAATGAATCCACAACACAACACATTATTTAGTAGCTAAATATAAGGTGTGACAAAGCCTGAGCCGAAAACTAAAACGGACGGAGCTTTATATTAGCAAAATCAGGTCTTTGGTCATCTTCTAGCCTGTGGGGATAGTGCACCTATTGCCTCATGTTGCGGTGCTTGGTATGGATTGAATAGTTGCAAGAGGGTTCACTTGATACATAGAGCAGACGAGGAAACTGTGCACAGCAAACAACACACAAACAATGAGTAATCATAATTTGAACAGTGCAAACTTCTTTCTACAGCTTGTAAAAACCCAGATGAAATTGAGTAATAAGAGACATTTCAATATGAGAGGAAACTTTTCTACGGCATATGTAGCTCCAAGTATAAGATTAGTTTCATTTCTCAAATATGTATGTATAATTGAATCAAAATCAGCCCGATAAAAATGATGAGGCTTATCAAAAATAGACATGAACCTATATTTTAAAATATTTAATTAGCCTCATTTTAACTTATTTCATTTCAATTTGACAATAATTTTTAAATAAAATATTTAAAGATGATATTATAAAAAGATTTCCACAATAGTGCATAAAAAGTCTCCCGCAGCGGAGCGCGGGTATCGACCTAGTGAAACTTAATAGTTCTAGGACGATAGTAAACACATTTTCTGCAATCTCAGAGATAAGAAAAATCAAAAATATATTATTGGGTTTTGAGATTTAATAGACAAAACACAATTGAGTTTAGGGGCCTGAAACTGAATCTTAAACACACCCCCTATGCATTGCATGTTTAGTAGTACGATTAAAAAATCAACTTACCTTATCTATTAAAATGCTACAAGGCCAGGCCCACTAGGCCGACAAATGCCTTCTCATATCCTATTCTGATTTATCTTCTGATCCTGGTTGCGGAGCGGAAATCGAGCCTCCACTGAATTTCACAAGTTTTTTTTCTAGGTTTTTTTTGTTCCATTCTAGGTTTTTCTAGGTTGTCTGTGTGGCTGTGTTTCAACTTGGTAATAATACCTCCTTTGGTTGGCTTGAGACATTTTAAGTCGTACGGTGTTGTCTAAGGTTTTGTCTGTGTGGCTCAACTTGCGACTACCTTGTTTTGTTGGCTCCAGACAAACCCTTTGAGTCGTACGGTATTTGCTTGTTCATTTTTTTATTTATTTTTTTGCTCAGGGTCGGAAGAAGGGGAATTAGGTTAGGATCTTGACTTTGTAAAAAATGGACAAAATCAATGAATTAACTGATGACTTGCTGGTTAAGATATTATCGTTTGTTCCGGCAACAGTTGCTGTATCCACTAGCATTCTGTCTAAGCGATGGGAGTTTCTGTGGATGTGGGTGCCTAAGCTTGAGTACATTGATTACAATGACATGACTGTTGCCAATCGTTCAAGGTCTTCATATCTAGACTTTATCAACAAGAATATGTCATTACGTAGAGCTCCAATCATAGAAAGCTTGCTCCTCGGATTCTATATTAGATCACTTCAACCTGAAGATCTCAAAGTATGGCTTGGGATTGCGGTTTCTCGGTGCGTCCGTGAGCTAAGTATCAACTATAGTTCTTGCAGCGAGGAACCTGATCTTGTATTGCCGACTAGTTTATATACCTGCAAATCGCTTGTGACTTTGGAACTTGAAGGAAGGGATGTTCTCGTGGATATGATGTTCCTCCTACGGTTTGTCTCCCTTCCTTGAAAACCATGCAACTTCGAAGTGTGACATACTTTAACGAAGATTCTCTTGGATTGCTTCTATCATCTTGCCCTGTTATGGAAGATCTCTTTATTGAACGACACGAGGACGACAATCTGAGAGCATTAGTTGTTGTTGTCCCGTCCTTGCAGAGATTATCCTTAGAGATAGACAGTGAATGTTCTTCTGATGAATACGTGATGATAGATACCCCTTCTTTGAAGTATTTCAAAGTTGACGATAACAGAATGAGTTTCTCCTATTTGATTATGCGTATGCCAAAGCTGGGAGAAGCAAACATCGTTGTAGACACAAATCTAGTCCAGTTTTTAGAATCAATCACATCTGTCAAACGTCTTTCACTAGACGTATTTATCAACGAGGAAGAAGAGGTAATCTGTTTCCATCTATCAATTTTCAAGCTGTCAATCTATGACATCACTTGTAAAATGCTAAATCAGGTTTTCTTGAGAATTAATTATTTGATGTTATCACTTTGTCATGTGTGCAGACGTACCCTGCTGGTATTGTCTTCCATCAGCTAGAACATCTGAAACTATCTGTATTCGGCGATAATTGGTCCAAGTTACTTGTTCGGTTGCTCAAAGATTCTGGTAAACTGCGTGCCCTCAACCTCAACGTCTCTGTAAGTTTCTCCGAGCGCCTCCATTGGAAGGTTTTTTTTTTGGAATTACTAGGAGGTACACCCACTAAACTTGAAACCACTTGGTTTTGTACCAAACCACACTTCATCTTGTGACTTCTAAGCTTTAGGAGTCTTTTATTAGTCAGTTATAGCCACTTGATCATTAACATGTTATAATAAGAGTTCTTAACAATAAATTATAATTTTTAAGTAAAAGAAATATCAATAAAAAATTATGGATTCTTAAAAATGGAGAGAGGGTTCTTAGTTTCTTAATTTTTAATAACCTCATACAACATTATATTATTTATTAAATTTTAAATATATTTGTATAAACCCCTTAAGAACCATGGATGGAGATGGTCAGGTAGATCCTTTTTGGTTCGAAACGTGTTAAATATTAAAGCTTGTCTCTTTTTTTTTTTTTTTTTTTTTTTAATCTTTTTTTGTTAAATTTCAGAAATGCAATTCTAAGACGAATGAACGGATTAACTGGAGCAATGAACAGAGTTCGGTTCCTACATGTTTGTTAGAGAGTCTTGAAACTTTCAAGTTTGAAGGGTACACAGGAAGACTTGAGAGAGATTTCTTGAGTTTTATCTTAAAACATGCTCGTTGCCTCAAGTCTAAATCAATCCTGCGCTCTGAGTTGGAGTGTAAGTGGTAACTTGGAATTGATCAAAGAGTCAGTCGTATTCGATTGTGGATGTTTGGTTTTGTTTTCTTTGTCCAAGATTTCGGAATTTAACTAGATATGGTGGAACTTTGTTTAAAACAAAACGTATGCCTTATTATTATCATGCATTTGGTTAGTTCTATAGTATGGTTTGTAATGTATAATTAACTTACTATTACAGTACTATGTGTGTGCCTTGCGACTTAAGTTTCTTATTAAAGAAGAGGGACCAACTCCAATTTTGTATTCTGCTTTTTTTGTTGCGAGAAGCAGAATTTCATCAAGCTTAGAGACGAACACAAACTGAAGAGAATTCAGTTACCGTATATGAAAAGTTTTATAACAATTCTCAGCATCATGTTTAAAAAATTCTAGAATGGGGAATTAGCACATCAATAGAAATAGTAACATCAATATAGGTTTTTTTGCAGAGAGCTTCTTCGCTTGAAATGGTATGTATGTTTACCTTCTACCAAACACTCCATTGCAAAATTGGAAACGCAACAAAATGAGACAAGATTCAATGAAGGATAATCGTTGTATGGGGTAATAGGCTAATAGCTTTAGTTTGCGAGTTCAACATGTGCTTAAACACGTGTTAAGAAGATATTGGCATCTTTAACAAATGAAAAGAATTAACTTGCTGAACATTTAGAGAAGTTGGCATAGTAATAGTACACGCGACTCAAGTCTCTTACTAAAGAAGAGGGCCAACTAAGGTTAGGTAGATGTCACCTCTCTTATATGCTCTAATTACATTTGTCTCATAATTTCTTATGGCTCTTTTACACACACTGGGTGATTTTCCCGCGTGGGATTCAATTCATTTCTTATAACTTGATGTATTATCGATTTATTCAGAGATGGAAAAAAATTCATGTTCTATAATATAGGTCACATATGACATATGTGCAGTTAAAAGTATTGATATGATATGAATAACAGTATTGAAGGCTATAGATCTCTTATCTTCAGGTATACAAATTTAACAACTTCTTTTATAAAGCTTATTCTTCTTTAATACTCCATTTGTTCTCTAATAAGTGTCATTTTAGAGAAATTGTTTTGTTCACAAATAAAAGGCTTTCTCACAAATCAATGCAAAACTTTATTGTATTTTGGGCTTTTGACTGTTTGAATTCTGGAGATTGATTTTCTATTGGTTAAATTATTTTGGGAATGATAATAAAACATGTTTTGTTTTGAAAAAATAAAAAATGAATCAATTTCTTAATGTGTGCATAACCCTAAAATGCCACTTATTAGAGACCAGAGGGAGTATTTGTTTGTAAAACTTCTCTGGTATGGTGTTTATTGTTGAATCTCAAAATCACACAATAATAGTAAGACAAGAGATGTGAGGTTTAGGAAAGACTCTTTATTAGATCAACCAAAGACAAAGATGGTACAAGGGGTGATTTGTCTCGACGATAAGGTTTGACGAGACGAATACGAAAAGAATAGAGAAGCTAAGAACAAAGGACGAATTATAACTAGGGTTTTGCCTCTTTGCTCTCAGTGATTGTGGAAAATTTCTGGATGATTCTGAATGCTTGTGGATGGTCTTCAAGGAATAGGGGGGTCTTCTATTTATATGGAGAGGAGGTTGGCTTCTTCAAGATATTCTTCCATATTTCTTTTGGAAATATTCTTCTTTGGTGTTGATCTCGTTCTATTTTTCTTGGATGTAGTCTTTTTCTCCAAGTACTTCCTTTTCTTTGAGAAGGTGTAAGTGGAAGCGAGCCGGGCTTACATAGTATTATTAATTGTGACGGGCTCAAGGAAATTGTGCTAATTTCTGCTCTAACAATAAGTCCCCCCCAGTTTGGCGAGATAAATGCAATTTAATCTCGGCGAATTTGATGTATAAAAGAGGAGCTCAAGAGCAATTAATAATAACTATGTGATGCCGATGCTGCGCTGACGTGATGCTGCGTTGCGTTATTGACTTTAGATCCGCACTGCCTCGTTAAAACCTTGATATGGAAAAACCCTATGGGATAAAAACCATAAGAAGGGAAAAGAGTACAGTGACGTAATCTTGTCCGCAAATAGAATATGCTTTTGATAATTTCTCTCGGACTTGACGAGATGACTCTTTTGTCTCGTCAAGGAGAATAGATTGATGTGACGATTTTTCTCGGATTCGAGCTTCGACGAGATTGGTTTTATCGGGCTCGTGTGATGACGAGACCGCTCGATCTCGTATATGATGATGAGATCGGTGTCTTCTCGGGCTCGTGTGATGACGAGACCGCTCGATTTCGTATATGATGACGAGATCGGTGTCTTATCGGGATGACGAGACCGCTCGATTTCGTATATGATGACGAGATCGGTGTCTTCTCGGGCTCGTGTGATGACGAGACCGCTCGATTTCGTATATGATGACGAGATCGGTGTCTTCTCGGGCTCGTGTGATGACGAGACCGCTCGATTTCGTATATGATGACGAGATCGGTGTCTTCTCGGGCTCGTGTGATGACGAGACCGCTCGATTTCGTATATGATGATGAAACCGGTTGGGGTTGCGCTTCGGCAACACTTGTTTTCTCGAAATCGTGCTTCGACGAAACCGGTTGGGGTTGCGCTTCGGCAACACTTGTTTTCTCGGATCGTGCTTCGACGAAACCGGTTGGGGTCGCGCTTCGGCAACACTTGTTTTCTCGGGATCGTGCTTCGACGAAACCGGTTGGGGTCGCGCTTCGGCAACACTTGTTTTCTCGGGATCGTGCTTCGACGAAACCGGTTGGGGTCGCGCTTCGGCAACACTTGTTTTCTCGGGATCGTGCTTCGACGAAACCGGTTGGTTTTATCGGGCTCGTGTGATGACGAGACCGCTCGATCTTGTGTGATGACGAGATGGTGTTGTCGAGAGGTTTGGCCAGAACGTCGACGTGTACCTTTGAAGGTGAATAAAATTTTACAACGCTCATCTCGTCAGACGGATTATAGAATTTTATTGGAGGTATAGCTGAACCTTTGGAAAGGCTGCCTACGTACCCATGCCGGGATCAAGCCATACGTAGTTCGTTTTCTCGGTCTCGTGCTTGAGACCGGTTTGATGCCGAGATGTTTATCGGACTTGCCGTTTCGGCGGCGGAGGCAGATCATCTTGGTGAGGGAGTGATGCAGGCGCGTTCTTCTCGGCGCCGTCATCTTGATCTCGGCGTCGGCGCTGGTTTGCAGCTTGTCGATTATGGTCGCGGCGTTCAACATCGTCTTGGCTTTGCGGAGTATTGTTGTACTCTTGTATCAAGCTCACGACATGCCTACAAGTTTCCGTAGCATGACCGTATCGTCTATGGAAGCGACAATACTCTTATCGTCGTTGTCTTTTTCGTCGCGTCGTTGTTCGTCGGGAGAAGGTTTCCTTTTATTCTCTTGACGAGACAACTCTTTCGTCGTTCCATGAATCTTTGAGTGGTGCGCCTTGCTTTCTTCAACGCAGACATATTTTTGGGACCTGTGCAAAGCGTCCTTGGAGGGTTGCGGGTTCGTCGAGCATCAGACTTTCTTTCAACTTTGATTCGAACCAAAGCCCGTTTTCGAAAGCTTGATTCCTATCGCGTCAGGGATGTCTGAGTGCTCTGCTGCTGCTGTTTTGAATCTCTCAACGAACTTGCGAAGAGACTCATCTTTTCCCTGTGCCATAGTGAAAAGATTGGTGCTGCCTTTTGACATGAACATGCCAAAGTGTTTCATGAATGCCGTGCTGAGATCATCAAAGCTGTCGATGGTCTCGGCAGGGAGGTTCGAAAACCAGCTCGTCGCGTCTTTGTTCATGTGCTCGATGAACACTTGACAGTAGTTTGCGTCTTGTTCTTCGGGGGAGGCATAGTTTTGCCTTCTCATGGCCATCTCGAAGTTTCTTAGCCAGTTTCGAGGATCGTCGCCATTGTTGTAGAACTGAAGACGGAGAGCCGTTTGATCCTTTAGAGGTATCGCGGCGATGCGACGAGTGAAAGGACTCCTTTTCGTCTCGGCGAGGATTTTGGCAATCTCGGGTGACGAGCTGATAGCGTCGTGCACTTTGAGCTGATTGCGTCGAGGTCGCAGCGCAGCTTGGCCACTTCCGGGTCGGTGTCTTTCTCACCATTCGTCGCGGCATTGGAGCCAGTCGCGGCGGTGCTTCTTGTCGGCGTCTGGAAGAGAGTTCGTCCCGTCGGGATGATTCGTCCGTCGCTGGTGACGTGGAGGGAGTCGATCTTGTCGTTGTACTTTTGCTGCTGAGCTTGCATCTCGGCGAATTGAGAAGCAATTTGAGCAGCAAAGCCTTGCATCGGGGTTAACGCGGCGGTCGTGACGGGAGCTTCTACGTCAGGAACCGGTGGCGGCGGAGGGTTGACGTGACCGTTGGTCGCGTCGACTTCGACGGGATGGACGATGGGAGCTGATAGCGTCGTGCACTTTGGAGCTGATTGCGTCGAGGTTGCGGCGCAGCTTGGCCACTTCCGGGTCGGTGTCTTTCTCACCATTCGTCGCGGCATTGGAGCCAGTCGCGGCGGTGCTTCTTGTCGGCGTCTGGAAGAGAGTTCGTCCCGTCGGGATGACTCGTCCGTCGCTGGTGACGTGGAGGGAGTCGATCTTGTCGTTGTACTTTTGCTGCTGAGCTTGCATCTCGGCGAATTGAGAAGCAATTTGAGCAGCAAAGCCTTGCATGGCGGCGGTTAACGCGGCGGTCGTGACGGGAGCTTCTACGTCAGAACCGGTGGCGGCGGAGGGTTGACGTGACCGTTGGTCGCGTCGACTTCGACGGGATGGACGATGGGGTTTCCATCTGCGCCGAGTTGACTTTGCAGTCCGCCTGTTCTGGTGCTGGGATCATCAGCTGGAGGTGCCATCTTTGAACCTTGATTGACTTTTTTCAGAGTTTTTTCTCCAGCCCCACGGTGGGCGCCAATTGTTAGATCTCAAAATCACACAATAATAGTAAGATAAGAGATGTGAGGTTTAGGAGAGACTCTTTATTAGATCAACCAAAGACAAAGATGGTACAAGGGGTGATTCGTCTCGACGATAAGGTGACGAGACGAATACGAAAAGAATAGAGAAGCTAAGAACAAAGGACGAATTATAACTAGGGTTTTGCTCTTTGCTCTCAGTGATTGTGGAGAATTTCTGAATGATTCTGAATGGTGGATGGTCTTCAAGGAATAGGGGGGTCTTCTATTTATATGGAGAGGAGGTTGGCTTCTTCAAGATATTCTTCCATATTTCTTTTGGAAATATTCTTCTTTGGTGTTGATCTCCTTCTATTTTTCTTGGATGTAGTCTTTTTCTCCAAGTACTTCCTTTTCTTTGAGGAGGTGGAAGTGGAAGCGGGCCAGGGCTTACATAGTATTATTAATTGTGACGGGCTCAGGAAATGATGCTAATTTCGGCTCTAACATTTATGACGTGAAACAGCGGTGATCACGATATGTCAATCCCTTTCGTGCCAATTAGAGCATGGATACATCTCTTAACTATTCCATTATTGAGAAATGAGAAGTGGAGACCATAAATGATTCTCGATAAAGTCGCTGGGTATGACCTCTTTTTTGTGCAATTAAGTTGGATCATTTTGTATAAGTTTCTCTGATGAAATTAAATATCCTTTTTTACTTGCAGATACACTCAGACTTATGCTAATAAGAACACATTTTGCTACTGTGAAGGTAAGTCTTTGATCCACATATTACATATATAGTTGACATAGAGATACAAAGTTTGTTTATTTATTACATCACATTTCTTATACTTAGTTTTGTCTTTTGTGTGTCTAGCTTTGTGTTGTCTAGGGTTTTTTTCTGCGTGGCCGTGTTTTTCACTTCCTACTGACTTGAGTCTTACGATGTTTTTCTTGTTCGTTTTTGGTAGGGAAGACAAAATTCAACAGTTTCTTGATTTCGAAAGAAATGGACAAAATCAATGGATTGTCTGATGACTTGCTAATTAAGACATTGTCGTTTGTTCCGACAAAAGTTGTTGTATCCACCAGCATTTTGTCCAAGCGATGGGATTTTCTGTGGATGTGGGTGCCTAAGCTTGAGTACGATGATTACAATGACAATGCTGTTGCCAACCATTCGGTGTCTTCATGCGTGAGGTATCGGGATTTTATAAACAAGAATCTGCCATTACATAAAGCTTCGATTATAGATAGCTTGCGCTTCACATTGTATTTTAATTTTGACCTGAGGACATCAAACTATGGATTGGAATTTGCGGTTTCTCGCTGCCTGCGTGAGCTAAGTATCAGCTCTTATATTCTCAGTGTCGAACCTGATGTAATATTGCCGAGTAGTTTATATACTTGCAAATCGCTTGTGACTTTGAAACTTGAAGGTGATAATATTCTTGTGGATGCTCCTGGAACGGTTTGTCTCCCTTCCTTGAAAACCTTGCAAGTTCGAAGAGTGACATACATGAATGAAGATTCTCTTCGGTTGCTTCTATCTTCTTGCCATCTTCTGGAAGATCTGTTTATTGAACGACATAAGGATGACAATGTGAAAGCGTTAGCTGTTACTGTCCCGTCCTTGCAGAGATTATTCTTAGAGATAGACGGTCTATGTTCTTCTGATCATAGGTATGTGATAGCAACGCCTTCTTTGAAGTATTTCAAAGTTGAGGATTGGAGAGACGGTGTCTCCTATTTGATTAAGGATATGCCAAAACTGGAAGAGGCTGATGTTTTTAACGACTTTCTCGGATCAAATAAATACGTAAAACGTCTTTCATTGAAATTAATTTACAACAATGAAGAAGAGGTAACGTGTTTCCATCTACCAAATTCAATTTCTTAATCATATGATATCATTCTTAGAAGAGAAAATCATCATATAAGTATGAAAATGTTTTTTAATTCCTCTCATACCATCACTAGTTATTTTTTCCTCTCATACCATTTTTATAAGGCTATAATTTAAATATTTGGGTTTAGGGTTTAGAATTTAGTTTTGAAAGTTTGGCATTAGTTTTTATGGTTTAGGGTTTAGTTTTGATGATCTAAAGTTACTTATATGAACGGAAAAATGGTATGAGAGGAATTAAAAAACATTTTGATGGTAGATGTGAGAATTGCCCTTTGTTATTTACTTTTTCACGTCACGCATGCAGACTATGTACCGTGATGGTATTGTCTTCGCTCGGCTTGAACATCTGAAGCTGACTATACGCAAGGAAAATTGGTCCGAGTTACTTGTTCGGTTGCTCAATGATTCTCCTAAGCTGCGAATCCTCGATCTTTCCGTCTTTGTAAGTTTCTTCTTAGACTCTTTTTCGGTCAAAAAGTGTGTATAATAGTAACTCTCGTCTCTTTCTTTTTTTTTTCGTAAATCTCAGAATTACAATTCTAAGGGGTATGAACGGATTAACTGGAGCAAAGAACTGAGTTCGGTTCCTACATGTTTGTTGAAGAGTCTTGAAACTGTCGAGTTTAAAGGGTACAAAGGAAGAGCAGCGGAGAGAGATTTCTTACGTTTTATCTCTAAAAATGCTCGTTGCCTGAAGTCTAAATCAAGCTTGCCCTCATCACACAAATGTTAACTTGGAAATGATATTCGATTATGGATGTTGGACTTGTTTTTCCTTTGTCTCGAAATTCGGTATTTAACTAGATGGTGGAACGTGGTTTCAAACAAAGCTCAAGGCCTTATAAATATCATGCATCTTATTAATCTATTATGGTTTGTAATGTATAAAAAAAAACCTACAAAAGTTAGCATGTGTGTGCCTTGCGAATCAAGTCTCTTATTAAAGAAGAGGGCCAACCAAGGCTAGGTAGGTGTCTATATCTTATATGCTCTCATTTCATTTGTCTGATTATTTCCCATGTCTCTTTTACCATATCATCTCTTAATATTTTGTAGTCAGCAAATTTTGTGTAGTTTTTCTCTATTGTGTCCGGAAAATATTCAATCGGTAACTTTTTGATGATAATATGATATTAATGTGGGAGTTAACAAGTTGACATAAAAAATCGGGAAATAGGAATCACTTATAGCTTTCTGCATAAAGAATCAACACAGCAAAAGTCTATGTGCCTCTCCAGGTATTGACAACTCAGCTTTTTTAAACTTCCTGGAAGTGACACCTCATTAAAATCGTCCAGCCAATAGAAACATTTCATTTAATCTTAGTCAGCAACTTTTCTGGTTTAGTTTGCCACATTTATAATTTTGGTTTGGCCTGGTTTTCACTTGGTTAATTGACTGACCTATTTCCTTCTCTGATTTGTTTGTAAATCCGAAATCGAAGCTTAATGTCTGGCGGTGTTCTCTCCTCAGAGTCGGATCAAAGAGAGGAGATTAATGGCTGTTAAGAAGAAGAACTGCAGGAGGAGAAGAAGGATTCGGATGTGGCTGCAGAGATTGACTGTAAGTGTTGAGCTAAGGCCAATGGGAACTTGAAGAAAGAGTTATTCAAATATCGAAGTGACTCCGAAGTAATAATTAGAGAATCTAGCCAGATTTGGAGGAAGGAGATGAAGTTGAAGTTGGAGAATCATATGAATTAGGGATTCTTCAATGAAGAGGTGAAGATAAAAGGTACTTGAAGAAGCCATAAGGAGTCTCATGGATATATTAGTCCCAAACACAGAGAGAAGAGAATCCCTAAAGGTCTTTGCTTCTCTTCTTCTTCTTATTATTATGATGAACTGAGAAGAAAGCGTAAGAAATTTCGATTGCGACTCTCTGGGGGTTTTGTATTATAGAAGAATTTTCTGGGGGAGATGAAGATAAAAACACACCTGAGAGATAAGCAGTGAAATTATGATCCTAGGTTTCGAATACGGAATAGTGAAATTATGGTCCTTTTCTGGTCTTCTTTGATGTCCTGATTAGGTAACATCAACCTTCTTATATTTTTTCCCGTTGTTATTACACTGATTTTGAATGTTTTTGATTATGTAAATCAGGAGTGTCCTGATTACTTGAGAGAGCTGATAAGGAAGACAAAGACTTGACAGAGAAACCGGGATTGGTGTTGTTCTTGCGTTTCCTCATGAGTTAAACATAAAGACAATCTTAGAAGAGAAGGTTGCTGTATTGCACTTTTATTAGGGTGAATGTTCAAAGAAAGTGGTGGATGATGCTCACCGTGCCGGTGTCAAAGTTGTTCCTCCGATAAAAAGTTTAAAATCAACAAATTCCAAAGAGGTTAAGTAGAAGGAATTTGCTTGATTTATTAGTAATTTTATAAGGTTGGGAATATGGAAAAGCTAGAAAGGCCGTTGCTGTAGGGGAAGACGCAATTATAGTGTAAGGGCATGAAGCATGAGGGCATGTAATTGGGAAGGATGCTCTGTTTTCGTTTTTGCCAAGAGTGGTGGATGTAGTCGGGGAATGCGATATTCCGGTGATCGCTGCTGGAGAAATAGTGGATGCACGCGGGATGGGATTTGAGCAATCTTTATCAAATGAGAGGTTCTTTAACAAAGAAAGAGAGAAATAAGTGTTGATCTATGGACGTTTGCTAAAAACTTCATAAAAATCAGATTTTGTTATGGATCATAATGACAAAGAGTTTTATTCACGAGTTTTGTTATTTCACCATTGCTCTGTTATAGCCCTTTATGAGAACCTTTTTTATGATTGATTAACAAGTCACTCTCGATAGAGTAATCAAAAGCTTAGGGTAGTTATGTTAAGACATTAATTCTTAGATATGTTGAGACATTCTCAATATTGAATTACTGTGATTGTGTGTTTCGAATGATAAATTTTTGTTTCTTTTAAATTTGATGCTCTATTTGATATATCATTATGTTTTTAGTAATTTTAGTGATTTTTTCTTTTATCTAATAAAATATAAACAAACATGCATATACTATAGTCAGAATTTACCACAAAATAGAGTTTCCAATAAACTATAAAAATCAAATTAAATAGTATTTTATTAAGTGAATTTCTAGAATACAATCAAAATTTGCTTTAATGAAATAGTATAACATATAGAAATGACAAAATCAAATTAAAACACAATTTTTGAAAAAGTTCCCGGGGCGTTAGCCCGGGTCAATTCCTAATTCTGGTTCAAAAGTCATAATATATGCTCGTTGTAAGGTTTATTTATTTTTAAGATTGAGACTATATATTACTCAAATAAACCCCCAAAAAGACACAAAAAGGTTTTCAAACTAATCATTTCTTTGTCATCACTTGATTTTATTATCCCATTACAAATCGAAGTTACAATAGTATATTCTACAACAGGCAATTCTATCTTCTAAAATTCCACGATCAACTGTTTCAAATTTGCACGCAAACATGTCTTCATTAACCTGTATAACTCTTATTGATCACAAGTTTTAGATTTCAAATCCTAAAACTCTTGGCATAGAAACATTATTGAACTCTTGATCAATCATCAATCATCTAAAATGAATACGCATGCTACTCCCCTCAGTGTCAGTTTAGGTTAAATAAGTGGGCTTGGGCCTCTCAACAGATCCAGTGGCATGTTTTCGTAAACTTCACAATTTCTCAATCCGTTGACTAGTTGGGCACAACAACGTGCGGGGGTTAGTAGAGATGGTAGATATACAGCTGCGTCTACGTATTCCACGTGGCGGCAATCCAGTAATCTATCAGATGTTCATCCAACGGTCAATAAGAAAAATACACATTTGAATACCAAAAAAAGAAGAAGAAAAGGATTAAACGGCAAGTAACATGTGTCTTAATGGTTAATATACTAATTATTTTCATTATTTATCTTTTTTTAATCTTCTTTATTTAGATTCATCCTGTTTTGACGCTAATCGGCTTAGTGATTCTTGGAGGCGAAGGTAACAAAACAATTAGAAAATTTGCAACAAAAATGTTATGCTAGTTTTTACTTGATGCAGTCTAAATTTGCGTTTTGATTTTGTCTTAACCAGCAATTATAAGCTACAAAACGTTTCCACTTGAGCAACGAGTGAAGAAATTGATTCACCTTGTTCTCCACGCAATTGCCATCATTCTTGGAATCTGGGGAATCGTTGCTGCTTTCAAGCACCATAACGAGAAACACGTCCCAAATCTCTACACTATCCATTCTTGGATTGGTATTGGTGTCATGTCCTCTATGGCCTCCAGGTATGTATAATATGAAAAAAAAAAAATCTCTATAACAAGAATGAATCTTTGAATCCAAAGTACAGAAAGTTTATTAATGGAAAGTCTTTCCCTTTTTGGTTTACACTTTGCAGTGGTTGTATAGCTTTATAGTCTACTTCTACCCAAGAGGATCTACATCTCTCAGGAGCGAATTCCTTCCGTGGCACGTGTTGCTCGGCATCTTTGTTTATGTTCTTGCTGTTGGAACCTCGGTTTTAGGGTTTCTTGAAAAGCTTACCTTTCTGGAAAAGTCAGGGCTTGACAAGTTTGGACCAGAAGCGTTTCTTGTGAACTTCATGGCTATTATCACGGTTATTTTTGGTACTTTGGTGCTACTCATTGTTTCCTCTAAGCCTCCTCCTTCTTCCGATGAGGATAACTCTAGCTACTCAGCTATACTACCTCTTCAATCTTAATCCCCTTTGAAGTTTCTTTGTTTTTAACCTAATGTCGTGGTTTCTTGTGTGAGAAGTTTGCTAATAATTAATGGTGTTGAAACTTCTTGTTAAATAAAATTGTATTTTCCTTGTGCCTTGATGTTCAATATAATGATCTTACTGTTAGATAACTCCAAACAAAATGTTATTATTCAATCTGGATATGAGCCGATCGAATCTGAAATTAAACAAACAAGAAGCGATCTAAAAGTTAAACCAATACTTAAATATGGTTAAAATGAAAGGAAAAAAAAAAAACAAATTCATACGGAAATGAACCTATACAAAACAAATCCATACTAGATTATATTTCATGTTAGTTTCTAAATTTATTACTAAGAAGGTCCAAAATAGAAAATTAAAACCGAAATCTGGACTAAGCATTTCCACTTTGAGGAAGAAAAAGTCCATTACACAAGAAAACTAATATTCTTTTCCCTCCCTTAAAGTTGTGTGTTATGAACAAGAAACCCCAAATCTCATTACTCTTATTTTAGGTATTTCCCCAAAGTCTTGCATTCGTTAACTTCCCACCACAACCCTCTGTTTCTTTTCTTCTGCATACCCAAATGGAATATCTACATCTTCAATCCTTCTCTGTCTCTCTCGTTGTTTATAAATGATAATTAACGTAAGATGATCTATTGTCTGAATAAATTCAAGAAACTATAATGGTGAAGCTAACTATAGTTGGTAGAGTTGAAGATGGATTGCCTCTTTCACAAGATCAAACATATGTAAACCAGCAAGACAGCGCTAGTTTCTTGTTCTACAAGCAACAAGCCGAATCCCTTCTAAAACAAATTTCCAAAGACTCATTGTTACATCCAAAGATGACAATCTTGATCGATCATCATTCTTTCCAGTATCCTTTCGTTTCAATCAATATCTTCTTTCTTTAATCTTCAGTTTACTTACTATTGATCTCTCATATTCTGAAATTGTGAAGCTTCCTGGTGGAGAAGAAGATCTGTTACATCGCTCTATCTGATTCTTCGTACCCAAGAAAGCTACTGTTTCATTACCTGCATGATCTTCAGAAGGAACTTGATAATTTAGAGGAGAAAACAACGATACAAACAATCTCAAAACCATATAGCTTCGTTAGGTTTTGTAAGATCATAGGGAGAATAAGAAGGCAATATATGGATACGAGAACACAGGCAAATCTGTCGAAACTGAATGCTTCACGGAAACAAGAACTTGATGTAGTCACTGAACATTTGAATGATTTAATTCAAAGACGACAACTTTTAGGTATTTGTTCTAGACTTTTCTTTCCCGGCATATTTTGAAATTTCTTTTCTTGTATCCTCTCTTTTTGATAAATACTTACATTTGTAATCTTTTTTTGTATTCCAAGAAACATCAGAAATAGCGCCTTTGGATCCTCGAATGTCAGTTTCAACCATTTGGAGTTCACGATGTCTTCAGGTATATATGAAAAAAGTTCATCAAATAAGGACTAAACTTTCACACTTTTAATTCAATGTATTGAAGTGTTTAACTTAGTTTATAGTTACTTAATTTATTTTATTACCACTTTGCAGGATATTGCGTTAAAATGGACACCAGTGACGCTCATTATTCTCGTTATTCTTGTTGTTTTCAAAGCAAGCTTGATTCTGACAGATGATTATTTAATTTCAACCATGATTTGAACAAGTAATATTTTTTGCAACTGAAAGAAGAGGATTTATTATGAAAAAAGTCGTAGTAGTTAGATAATTTTCACAACTTGTTAAAACCATTTGACTTTGAAATGTTGTTTAAGCAAGTCTTGGAGAAAGAAGAAGACATGCAAATAAAAAAGACAAGAACCAAGTAAATAACAGTGTACACAGAAATGATTATTCTATCTGTATATACAGATTGTAGTGAAAATAAATAATTAAAACCAGTCTTAAATAAAAATCCAAGCTTTTTTCAGAAAATAAGTTTTCTTAGTTCATGTTTGAGCTAAAAGTTCTGATTTTTTGTAACTTATAGGACGAGTATCTTGCTTTTTCTCCTATTCCAATCATATCCCCTGTTCTTGATTTACGTTGCCTTTAGATGTAAGCTACGTCGCTGTTGATGAAGAAATCTCCAGAAGAATAATAATTTGCAAACTCGTTATCAGGTTGCTGAAACTCTGTACGGTACATGACATCATCCTCAAGTGAAGAGTAATTGTTGTTGTTGATTATCATCGTTTCTTCGTAGTCCATTTGATCTTGAGTTTGTTTAATGTGCTTTAAAGAAGAGGAGTAATCGATGTGTGGATCTGAAGAACTGATCCACTCTGAGAAGAACAGCTTAGGCAAGTTATTGTTGTTGTTGTTCATCATGTTTCTGTTGCTTTCTTGTGATGGTGATGAAGATGGTTTATGTTGACATTTCTGGAAGGAGATCACATGATCTAGGGTTTCGGTTTCCATATTTCTTTTTTCACAAGAAAGTAGTGAAGAAGAAGTTTCGGTGAGGTCTGATCTTTGAGTTTTGAGTTGTGGTTGAGATTTGAGCCATCTCTTCTTTAGATAGGAGTGCCAATAGTTCTTGATCTCGTTATCTGTTCTTCCAGGTAAGTATTTCGCAATCCGTGACCACCTAATCAAATCCAAATCATAAAAGCAAATGAAAAGGTTTACTAAAAATCAAGTGTTTTACTGTTTTTCATTAGAACCAGAATTATTTTCATCATTAGGTTATATATCATAACTCGGATTCAAACCTAGGAGTGTGCATGTGTGACAGTGTGAGTTGGACAGAGAAAGAATACAGTTTTCATTAGGGTTTTTCTTACTTGTTACCCAAGGAAGAATGTAAAGTCAAAATTGTCTCTTCTTCTTCAGCACTAAACGTCCCTCTCTTTAATCCTGGTCTTAGGTAATTAATCCACCTTAATCTACAGCTTTTCCCATTCCTTTGCAATCCTGCCCCAATTTTAAAATTTAATTAAGTAGGGTAACAATAATAATGGGAATTAAGAGTCTAATAATAAGGATTATAGAGATTAAGAAAGAAAGAAAAAAACCAGCTAGGATGGGAACAGTAGTCCAGCAAGCATGGCCATGAGAGATGATGAAGCTCTTGAGCTTCTGGTCTTCTTCAGGTGACCATAATCCTTTCCTCTGTCTCTGTTTTGATCTCTCTCCAGATTTGGTCATCTTTCCCTATATCTTTCTTTCTCTCTCTCTCAAGCTGTCCTAGTTAAGAGAAAACTTGTGTAAATGATAAATGAGAGAGAGAGAGAGAGACAAAGACAAAGATAGAGACAGACACAAGAGTATATATGAGCATTGATTGTGAGACCACTATGTGTTTTTAATTTCATTTAAACGCAAATGCAGAAATTACGTTATAAACCGTAAAAGCCAATAAGCCATAGTCTAGTGACTTTTAGGAAATGGACAAATGGGGCTGCGTAGTATAATAAAGACTTAAATAAACTTATACGGACTCAAATGAAATTGCATGTACACACGTGTTTATGTATGTATTGTGACTTGTGAGCATATGTGAAAGTTTAGAAGGTAGCTAGGAAAGAGCCAGGAGAAAAGTCTGGAGGAATATATGTAAGCATGGATTAGTTGTAAACCCAAGTCACTTGGTTTAAACTAACGCATAGCATAAATTAAGTTTAAGACAAAGAGAAAAAGAAGGAATCTTTGCTTGTTATTCATTTCAAATATCTTTTGTTCTCTTCTTCTTGTTTTATCTGTGGAGAAAGTCTCTGACGCTTAATTAAACATATATAGAGATATTGCATGACAAAATTGCAATCACAAGGAAATTTTTGTTACGGTCATGTTGATAAGATGTTTAATATCTATATATGACATATTTTAATCGCACTATTATGTATGATATTTAACCAAAGTATTAGCAGACGAACACTTTCTCTCAACCTCTTTATACAAAAGCAAACTCAAAAACACTATCAATGTCAAATGGATTGGTGTAAAAATTGACTTGAGTTATTTTGTTTTCCGAGAAGACTTTGGTTGTATAAAAGTGAAAATCAAATCATTAAAATGAGTAAAGTGGTCCAGAGGACGAAACTTAACGCTGACAAAACAATCTTTGTCTGATCCGAACCAATGATTATAAAAGAAAAGTAGAACACGAAACAATTGAAATAAAGAATGTAAAGAATCATCCAGTTTGTTTGTTTTTTTTTGAACAAAGGTATATATTTGCGAGACCAACGAAACTTGGCAATATATGGAGTATCGATTTAAAAACCATCTGTAATTTTTTAAAATATTTATATAACTTTGTTTGTTAGGATTTTATGTAATTAATCTTGGTAGGTGAGTCAACACTTTCCTCCTATTTGCTGCAACAAAACTTTTAATTGAAGTATACATTACATTACTAATTTAGTAGAAGTATACAATACAAGTATACTTTTGGACTTTATTGATAATAGAACTACACAAATACATTACAAAGCTTTCATTTGAGATATATTCTGCATTTCCATATGTCCCGACCTAAATGGTTTGGTGGCTTTTTCATAATGAAATGCTTCCATGTTTGTTCTGACTCTTACGTTTTTCTTTTTAAGCCACATTTGTTTAATTATATTTGCCTGAAATAAAAAGGGCACGTTGTTTGACTAGCTAATGATGGGCCACGATCTGATGCGGACCAGTCCTCTTTCTGGGTTACGACTTACGACTGACGCCATCTTCATGACAACTTCTAGAGTCACGGCCTGTGGCAAAGTTTAATTTGTCCGGCCACTTTACTCCAATCGATATTTGGGCCGTCCCAGGTCTTATTGGGATCTAAACGTTTTTAACGTTGCATTGTTAACCATGTCAACAAATTAAGGGGTTATGGCATCGATTTATGGGGTATGATAGATTTAAATATTTATCTTTTATCAGATTGTACTTACATACCTACTCCCTCTGTTTCACATGAGTTCTAGAGTTTTATTTTGTTTTATTTTATAAGGTGTTTTTAAGGGTGTCAAAATGGATCCAAATCCATGGGTTGACCCAATCCATCTTATCCATTAATCCAAATGGGTTAAAAATTTGGATCCAAATGGGTTTGGCTTAGATAGATGATGGATTAATTGGATTGGATAGAAATGGTTTGGTTTATAATGTGTTGGATTCATGGTTGACCCACTTTATTAAATTAATATAAAATAAATATTTTAATAAATAAAAAAAAAAAAAACATATTTTCATCAAATGCTTTCTCACATATAAATATATAATGAATCCAAAATTGTATTTGATTGGATTTGAATACAATTCAAAAAATGAATTTACGGTTTTGACAAAAAAATGCTATTATAAACCGCAATTTTACAGTTTTGTAAAATAACACGATTTCACAGTTTTGGCAAAACATTACAGTTTTCTGCAAAAACCATAAAATCACGACTTTTTCATCAAAACCCTAACATCATGTCCGTCCAAGACGTAAAATCGCGGTTTTCCGCCAAAACTGCAAAATCACAGTTTTTTTGCCAAAACCTTAAAATAGCAGTTTATGCCAAAAATGTAAAATTATGTCTTTCCGCCAAAACCGCAAAATTATATTTTTCCGCCAAAAACATAAATCACGTAATTTTACTTTTTGGCAGGAAAACATTATTCACGGTTTTTCCGCCAAAACCGTAAAATCATGTTTCCCGCCAAATCCATAAAATCATGTTTTCCCGCCAAAACCGTAAAATCATGTTTTCCCGCCAAAAACGTAAAATAGCGGTTTTCTACCATAGCCGTAAAACCGTGATTTTACGTGTTTGGCGGGAAAACATGAAATTACGCTTTTGGCGGGAAACATGATTTTACGGTTTTGGCGGAAGATATGATTTTACGATTTTGGCGGGAAAACATTATATTACGGTTTTGGCGGGAAAACATGATTTTACGGTTTTGGCGGAAAAACATGATTTTACGGTTTTGATGAGAACCTGTAAAATTGTGTTTTTCCACAAAAACTGTAAAATCAGATTTTCATTTGATAGATTTTGTATTTAGATTTTTCAACAAATTCATAAAAGAACAACTTTACATCCAAGTGCAATTTCTAATGGATTATCCATTTATCCATTCATCCATTAATCCATTAAAACCATCTAATTAAATAGGTAATGGATCAAACCAACTCATTTTCTAAATGGATTGAATTAACCCATGATCCATTAGCATTCAATCCATTAGGATAATGAGTTGGATTGGATGGGTTACCCATTTTGACACCCCTAGGTGTTTTCAAGTTTTTATGCAAAATTAAATGTGTTTTGTTACTTTTCACTTTTTGAATTGCATATTATTTTTCAATTGTTGACCTGTTTTGGAATTGATAAGAAAACATGTTTCATTTCAAAAGCTACAAAATTAAAAAAATTCTTAATATGTGGGTAAAAACCTAAACCCTTTATATTGTGAAACAGAGATTATCAAATAAGATTTGATGTTTATTTTTCGTTTATTTAGATAGAAATGACCTTTTTTGGTTAAAAGATATCATATTGAAAATCTTGTTCATGCTAAATCTTTTTTTTTTGTGCCAAATTTGAGGAATTTAAAACCACGATCATTTTACATAATCAATTTCTCCAAAGATGACTTATATACTTCCTCCATTTTGTTTTAGTTGCCGTTATGGGCTTAATTTTTTGTTTCGTTTTAATGAATAATACTAAAAGCCGCTTCGTTTTTAAAGGGTATAAAAAAATTATTAATAAGTTGAAAGAAACGGAGCGAATATTACTTATCCATATGGAATTTAGAAGTTATATCCGTAAATACTCCTTTAGATCAAAGTTGTTAACATTTTGACTTTCAATTCCCTAGAGAATGTGTTATATTATATTCATCATCTGCAATGTTTTTCTGTATTATGGATTGCAATGTATATCGTCGGAAAAAAATGAGAATACTGTATAACAACATTTGATTAAATCATTTTAGATTATAGACAGATTACCAACCAACTGTGAATCATGATGAGTATAGTAGAAGAAGCCAATAAAACGATTTTAGCTTCGTTGGCCCGAGAAAATCTCTAAAACCCCATCGGATCCTCCGGCCACAAGCGTGCACCAGTCTTCATCCACTTGTCTCCAACACACACTGCTCACAAACCGCCGGTCAGAACCTAACCGGTCCGATTGACTAAACCCACGTACCCAAACCGGTTCTCCCCACCTCTTGTCATACACAAACACTTCACCATTCTCCGACCCGGACACCACCAAACCACCTTGTCTCCAAACCGACATCCCGACAAAGTTCCGGCTATTGACATGCCCTCTGCACGTGCGAACCACGCGCCCTCCGTTAGCTATATCCCACAGCTTCAAGCTCCCGTCGGTCGAACCCGTGACGATCGTGTGTTGATCCATGAACCGAGCGTACGTCACCGTTTTGGTATGACCGTCTAATACAACGACCGGGTCAACGAGTCTTCTGATGTCGTACACGTAAGCATTCCGGTCAGCGCATCCGACGGCTAAGGAAGGTCCACCGAACGGATCAAATTCAACCGAACAGATCGCCGCCGGTGCTCCACCTCCAGGAGGCCTAACCGTTTCCTCTAACCTCTCGTTTCTCGGGTCCCACATTTGAACAGTTCCGTCGTCGGAGCCCGACGCGCCTACAACGGATCCGTTGTATAGCGTGTAGTCCACGCTCCAAATCCGTCTCCCTCCATGCTCGTCTCGCTCGAAAACAGGCACTCCTCTCTCCACGTCGTACTCGGTGACGACTCCGTCGTAATCGCCCGACCCGATAACCCGACCGGCTAAGTCGGGTCTCCACTTTAGACTGCTAAGCTTCGCCGGCGTGCAGATACAGCTCAAGTGATCATCACGTGACGACGACTCTAGCAAAGAGCTTAAACGATACGATCTGATTTTTCTTGCGATCCCTCCGGTAGCTAAGATTTCTCCACTCGGGTCGAACTCGATTGCTCCGATAGCGTCGGATCCGGTGGAAGGGGAGGAGACGACGGCGGAGAGAGAGAGGTCCCAGTCGAATCTAGGAATGTTGTCTTTGTCCATGAGTGTGGGAAATGAAGAAGAGGAGGCCATGATTATCGGCCATGTATATGAAGAAGACGAAGAAGAAAGATCGTTAATGGAAGATCTGATGGGGATCTCGGAGCAGAGCAACGCTTCCATGAGTGAAATTTACGACTCGTTTAAGTTTGGTCCACATGAAACTATATAACATATACTTACATTACGTTCATGTGTTGTGTGTGTATATATAAGCTATGAAATGAAGTGGGGTTTTTTTGTTTGAAAAGAAACAAAAAAGTGGGGTATAATTTAGTTGATATAATAAATGCATATATAGGCATCATGGTTTATAAACTTTATATATTATATTATTTCCTTTTTTTTATTGTTTTAGTTAAGCCAGAGATAAAATAGATAGAAATTTTGCTAATTCATGATATATGAAAGTTTTATTTAATGTGATTTTAGATAGAAATGCATTCACGATTCACGTCATTGGTACTTGTTGTTGTTGTTGTTGTTGTTATCCGAATGGTTCCAACTAGCTGGCTTAAATTAGGAAAATTACATGCGGGCATACGCAAATTAGCTGCATTTATTTTTGTTCAAATGATCCAAACACCTAATCTATCAAATAATCCAAACAGCTAAGCTAAATCAACATCCACTCTTTGATCATGATGGACTATGTTTAAGAATTAGCCTATGCTTTAGACTAAAACACCTCGACTAGTTATAATCTTACTGATCATTCCTTTGGACTTAAGATATTACACCAATATTGCAATAGAAACATTTTAATTTTTTTTTCATAAAAAGACGATAAGGGAACTTTTATTTCTATTTTTGGGTGCAAGAGATAGAATGATAGATCACATTAATTATAGGAAGAAAACGAAAACACGAGATTAGCTTTAAGCGTTGGTCGGATATGAACCCCAAATTTTGAAGCCATTCCTAACGATTAGTTTGGTCGTCGTAGATCTCAACTCCTACGTGGTTCATGTATAGCCTCTTCTTTCTATTTCTCATTTTATTGTTTCCAATTATTGGTGAAGACAAAGAAAGTGAATACAAAAAATACACGTCGATCGACGGTCCATTACGTTTGGAGTCCTATTTGTTATATAATAACTGCATGTGCGTTGATATCTTGGTGCATGTTTGCCTTATTTTGACGATTTCAATTTTCAATATCTCTAGACTTGAGATTTGAGACTACTTGAGACTTGAGAGATCATCTTAATAAATATATTTATATATCATCACAGCTAGGAGAAGATATTTCAAGGCCATAACTCTACGTCCAGCTAATATGAATCGTTAAAAACACTTCAATCTTATAACTGATAATTTTCCAGAGTTCTGCACGACTGCACTGTATGTAGGTAGAACCATTTTTCATGTTTTTGGTGAGAAAGGAGTCATGGAAACGTGTTCATGAAGTTGCCCATCATAATCACATGCGTTGTATGTAGTTAAATACGATCGATTGATCATATCTTGTAGTAAGATCATCAGGTATACGATGATGCAATAGAAATTGATGATCATCAAATGTTTGTTTTTTTTTTTGCTTAGTTTTATTTTTGAGCTAGAGGGAGTGTTTAATCCTTAATGGGTTTTTGATGTGGTTATTGTGTTTTAAATTTGGTTTTGGACTCGCTCCATTAAGGCCAATTTGTATCCAATGGTGATGTAGTCGGAAAATATAAATCAAAGAGAATTTTGCAAGAACAAACCACAAGCTTTAACTCAACCACCTTTGTAATCTTGCAACGCAAATGGCCTTGTGATAGAGCAATTTAAAATACTTTATTAATCAGCAAATTTTGTTTTCAGGGTAATAAAACAAGATTTACCACTAACACTTAAACATCATAGATTCTACAATCCTTAGATAAAAACTTGTCCAGTATGACAAATCTACTCCTCCTTCTTCACATCACTCTCAGCAGGAGAAGCCTCATCACTCTTATCCACAACGGCCTTCTCAGGGGCCGCAGCCTCAACGGGTTCAGACACAGATGCGGTTTCGGCTGCTTCTGCACCGGCGACTCTAACAGTACCAACCTTGGCATACTTGCTCATGAACTTGTACTCCCAGTCTTGAAGAGCTTCTAGCTCAAAGGGACCAAGACCAGAGATATCCCAAGTCAGATCTTTCTCTTCAAACGACATCTTTGCAAGAGCTCTGCTTGCGTCTTTCCCTGCAAACAACGCATATGGTCCTCCTGGTCCATAGAACATCCTACAAATGTACACAAAACCAATCCAAATCGATACCTTTCATAACAAGCACAACACCCAATACCAGTCTTAAGAATAGCATAAGAAGAAGATCAACTGATTATGCTCACAAGCAAACATTAAGAACAAGAACACATTGCAGCTTCATCTGAATCCTTCTCTTGTATGAAGTAGAAAAAAGATAACTTTTTTACAATATGCCAAGCAAAAGCTCAAATACCCAGAAATGTACAGCCTAGAAAGAATCAATTTTTGAAGATAATTAACACAAATTAAACTACTTAATTGGGGAAATTATTCTCAAAGTGAACAACTTTTAAGAGAAAACTAATCAAGTCCAATTTTTTACAGGAACAGACGAAACTGGGCCAAGGAGAAATCAAATCTACAACCTAATTTATGTTCTTTCTAGTTAGATTTAAAGAAATTTCACCTGCTTTGAGTGACGTCATAGATCTGATGTTTGATGGCCATGAGAAGGGGCTTTTGAGGATCGGAGCCATCGTACTGCTTAAGCTCCTCTTCAGTGATCTCACCGAGTTGAACAGGCTTAGGAATCGGTGGCTCCTCCTCTTCAGCAGCCGATCTAGCTCTCTGATGTCGCCGAACATCGTCGAACGGCGATGCAAACCAGCCTGAGACGACTTGGTAGACGGCGAAGGCGAGAGCGAGGGCGGTGAAGAAGACAACCGGAGAGAGACCTGTGTAAGCATGTATCGCTTCTTTCAGAGTTTGCCATAGTAGTAGCGCCATGGTTGAGACTTGAGAATGAGAAGATTGTTTGTCTTTGTGAAAGTCAGATAAAAGAGTAGTTGGGTCTTTTTATTCCTGCCTGAGTGATTCTCTCTCTACTTTTAAAAGGTGAAAAACTTTACAGATAAACTAAAGCAGCCTAAAATAAACATTAATATTAATTAACTTTGTAAAAAAAAAACATTATTTTCTTTTTCATTTAGAGAATTTTCTCTCCAAATAGTTTATCCAAATTAGCAAAAAAAAAAACACCAATTATATTTAAAATATTTATTTAATACATTTCTACTCATATTTCTTTACATTCATATTTAAAACATAAATAAAATTTTAAAAATACACAAAATATGTAAAAGTTATAAAGTATGTGATAACTAATACTAAAAAATTAAAAATGTATAATATTAATTGGAAAGAAGATAGTGAAATATACTACTATACTCAAACTTATATATAACTACTCACAAAAAAAAAAACTTATATATAACTAATTTTTAAATCAAAAAGTTGTATAGAAAATATATATTGGTTTTAAAACTTTATAATATGTTTACGAGTTAAAACATGTACAGTACAATTTAGATAATATAGTGGAAAGCTAATGTAATAATTCGGTTTAAATATTTTTCTTTCTTTTTTTTTTAACGGTGAAGTTGAACTAGAATAGATAAATTAATAGAAAACTTGAATATATTTAGTGTATATATATATATATATATCTTATTATATAAATATGGATGTGCGCGACGTGGTTGCAACACAATATGATTTTTATAATTTAAATAATCGCGACATGTGTCACTTTAATGTTAGATACATTAAGATCGTGACACATGAAAAAAAAGAAAATAAAAATAATTTAAAATAATATTAGATAAAGTAAAATTAAAAAATGAATTTTAAATATGATATAGTTAAAAAAAAATTTAATATTTGTCATATCTTAATAGAAAAATGTTTTTCATTCATCAAATTTATATTATCCAAACACATATTAAATTCAAAATATTGTAATAAATAAAATCATATTAGTACATGGATTATGTTATGTAAACTGAGTTTCCTACAACTGCATGAAATAGGTTACATGAAACCCTATAAAAAGAGAATTACAGTAGTCTCTTTTTTTTCTCATTCACAAACTCAGCTAAACAAATTCATCAAATCTCTTTGTTTCTCTTTCTCTAATATAAAAATTATGTCTTTGAAAATTCATGATGTGGTCACGATACCTAGGATTTTTATTACTTACAAAATTGCAACATACTTTTTTTTAGTTTGAAAGTATTAAGATAATGATTTTATCATGGAATAAAAAATATTTTTAAGAATATTTTTTCATACTTTATATTTTAAGATAAAAAAGGATTCATGTTCCAATGGAAAAAAAAATAAAAATATATTTTCTAAGTCTTAAAAAGAATTATATTTTACATTTTCTAAGGGAAAAAGAAAAAAAAAACTGCATGCCTCATATTTTAAGATAAAAATATTTCATATTCTAACGGAGAAAGGACAAAATATTTTTACAGGTTTTATATTCTAAGATAAAAATGTTTAATATTTTAACGGAAAAAAACTCTAACCTTTAAAATTGAAAAGATGTCTTTCAAAGTTCAAGAAAGTAACGGCGATTATTTACTATAGATCAATTGGATTGAAATCGAAATTGAAATTGTCGTAAGGTAAGATAGTATGTATTATTCGAAAGTGAAAAAGTTTTAAATCCTAAAAGAAAAATATCTTTATGAGAGTTGAGTTTTTTATATTTTTATCATGGAATTATTATACTGTATAACTATTACTCCCTCTGTCCCATATTATAAGCAGTTTTGGAATAATGTACCTGCAATTTTCTGGATGTGTAATATGTGACATTATTATAACAATATCCAGTTATATTATTTCAAAACTGCTTATAATATGTGATAGATGGAGTACTGTTTATTACAGTATAAGATTTTTGTTTTTGGTAGGAGAGAGGATACAAAAGTCTCCCTCAAATTTTATTAAAAGAAATTACTCAGTTCTTACAAAACAAGTTCGTGTAGAGCCATCAACGTCCTCTAACAACAGCGCTGAAATTTCAGCAGGAGCCGAGGGAAATAACCAAAAACCTAAAGAAAGTGAGAAGGCGTGATTCACTAAAACATCAAGCCACACGATTTGCTTCATTGTAAACATGTGTAACCCGAACTGTCCAGTCCCGAGACAAGAAGCCATAGCACAAACGTACTAGGAAAGACAAAGGATGAGCGTCGCTAATCCCTGAGTTAAGAAAACCAACAACAATCTCCGAGTCCACCTCAATGACCAAGCGTGGGATTCGTCTCTCCCATGCCACATATAGGCCATAATAGACTCCCCATAGCTCTGCTAGTGGAGCAGAACACACCAATATTCAAAGCGAAACCAGAGACCCACGTACCATACTCATCTCTGAGTACACCACCTGTAGCTGTGGAGCCTGGATTTCCCCTTGAAGCTCCATCAGTATTCATCTTCCACCATCCATTCTCTGGCAGTTTCCAAGCTATACGTCGTTCCACTCGAGTCCCCACAGCCTGTCTTCCGCGGAGTTTCTCATTCGCCAAGGAGATCTCTGTGGCAAGGTTCTTCAAAAATCTCACTCGGTCCCTGCACTTTCCATTATTTCCAAACACATTCCAGCACCTCCATTTCCAGATCCACCATACGGATATTGCAAACACTGTCGACCAAGTGTAGTCTCTCATATCCGTAGCATCCTCAAGGTTCTCATACAACCAGCTTAAGAGCGGTGCATTAAAATTCTCTCTGTCTCCTCACTGGCATAATACGATTCCATATCACTGCCATTGCCGGGCAATCTTGGAGAATGTGTATTACAGTATAAGATAGAAATGAAGTACTGTATAGTATGTTTTTCAAATATTTTTATTGGATTTTCAATATTATTTTACTTACCTTCAATAGTTATCATATTTTGTTTAATAATCATATGTAAATTATTTCAAAAATTTTAAAATAAACTCCGAGTATACACGGGAATATATATAAATATATATATTCAATTATAATCAAAACCTACAAATTCAAAATTGGAATAAAAGAATCAAATTAATGGAAAGCTTGGGTTGGTCATCATGCTCAAACGAATCAAATAAAACTCTAAAACATCATATTATACTATTAAGAAATACGAACATAGAAAGTGTTGTTTTGTACCATACGAACATACGAACGTCGATGGTGTGTATTTTACCATCACAATGATAAAATATAATCACTTCTATATTAGCTTTACCATCAAAAAGTCGATGGGTGTGTTTCTTATTCTTTTGTTTGTATTATCATGTGTTTTGTGAATTGTGATTTGTCCTTTTTTGTAACTAACTAAACCCAAACGTGTTTGTCCTTTTTTGTTGCTGCAGAATTTCACAAAGACCCGGTGTTCCTCACATAGAAAACTAGATAGAAAGTGTTTGCATCTTTGTTAAACAAAGTGGATCACGCAAATAATGGTAAATTTTAATCACGTTGCTGATCTCATTCAAACGAAACTCTCTCTCTTTTTCTTATTTATATATATACATTATCGTCCAGATTGTATAAACACAAGAAAAATATATGGTCATTGAGATAATTTCTATTCAAATAGGCTAAGAAGGATGTAAGAAGTTCATCGAGTTGCTCCGATATATTTCTTTTAAAATTTGTTTTGTTTTTTTTTTCTTCAAAAATCTGTTATGCATGTCCACGTTAACATGCTTTGTTTTGTTACTCTAACTTATCGTTTTTTTTCAAATTAACGTATTTTGTTTCATACCATGTACAAGGAAAAAGCTGTCAAGCTGTTCAGAGACCTCATTGAAGAGCTCTTTATTTTTGTGGTACTCTCTTACTCAGCATTATTAAATGTGGATAACCCGACCATGTTATAACTTTGTTTGGAATTGAATTTAGAATTACTTTCATTGACATGTTCTAGCTCATGACTGGTAAGTTTCAATTCACGAATTTTGATAGTAAGGAACTGTTGAGGCCTTGAAAGACTGGATCTTCTTACATATTTGTCTCTATAAGATTTTTTATCATAAAGAGTTTACTAAAACAAACTCGATTCGCTGATTCACATTTCCTAATACTTTTGTTCATTGGCTTGCCTCTGTATAAAGTTGGTGTCCTGTCTTGAAGGCTTGGTAGCATGGAGGGAAGTGCCAAAAAGAAAAGGGTTTCTCCTCTGGACTCTGATTAACTTATTTTAAATATGATAAGTTAATTCAGACAAAGAGACAAGCTTGGTTGTGGTTAAGAAACACAACCCAAATGATCCTCTATCCGAAATCAGATGCAAATTGATTTCCAAGAAACACCACCATCTTGAGAAACAATGAAGTTAAGAGTTATAGTTCCAGTGAAATTGGTGTTGGAGATACCAAGGTTTTGAAGTGAGGTAAAGAAGAGATCTTAGGGAGGGAAAGGTAAAACCAACTGAATAGAAACTAACGAGTTTGTCGGAGGAGAACAACTGATGTAAGGCCATTGATATGGATCGGAATGAGATTAAAGACAGAGAAAGCTGCCAGCAGCGAAGTGGACCTGTGAAGCCAAAAAATCAACGCATCGACTTCATTGCTCGATGCAGAAGTTGAGGAGATGAAGAAATGTAAAAACAAAGAGAAGAGAAAGAATAAAGTAATGGAAAATTGGTGTTTGATTACGATACTTGATATGTTGATTTGAGGTATATTAGTTATTATTTTGAGACAAAAATAATTGTGTTTTGGTGATTAAGAGTTTATTTTTAAAATATATATCATTCATTTTTTTCTTATCAATCTAACAATAACATTGCCGATTTAAAAAAAAAATAGCAACTTCTAAATAAATAAATAAGAAAACAAATAGAGAACAAGCGTCTAATGTGGGCTTATAGTATATTGTTTAGGGAGTGGAATTTATAAGGTAATGTTAGGGTTAATGGTGTAGGGAATAAAGAGGAGAGGGAAATATGTTGATGCAAGGGCATGCCACATTGTTAATTTCAAAACAAAGGTTAGAATCGAAAAAGAAAGAAGATGCACCGGTTAAACATCATCTCGGCAATCAGAGAAAATTCGATCACCTTATTTTGATCTTGGTTTGTGGTGAATCACTGAGTTTTCTTTTACAAAAAATCAATGATTAAAAAATCGGACCGGACCGGCCGGTCCGACCGGTCTAACCGGGAACCGGTGCCAATCCCGGTTTGGTTTTAAGGGAAAACCGTAATTGTCATTGACCCATAAAAACCGGCAAAAAACCGGCCAAAACCCGGAAACCGGCCGGTTTGAGTAATTAGTAAACCCGGTTTTGTTTCCTGCACTCCATTTTTGTCCCTTCCAAGCTTCATCACACCACTTATATTCACGTAGAACAAAATCTATGTGTTTTTCATAATCACAGAATCTTTTAGTGTTGATTTTCTCTTAACAATTTTGATATGATATTAAGAAGGAAAACAAGAAAATGGAGATCTAAGAAAAAAAATAAACTTAGAAGAAGAGTTTTACAGAAACTCGAAGAAAGAGAAAGGAGAAGGGAAGGAGAAGAAAGAGGGAGGCGACGGCTGTTTAGGAAGAAAAGGAGTAGGGTTTGATGACATGTAATTTCTTTAATTCATTTTTATTGAAAAATAAGTAAATCACATTAATGATTAATATACATTTAAATATTAGTTGTTATATATATATATATATATATATATTTTATTATATAAAGCTGGATGCGCACAATGTGGTTGCGACACGTAAGATTTTTATAAAATATAGGATCGCGACATGTGTAACTTTTAATGTTACGTCCGTTAAGATCGTGACACATGTATTATGGGAAAAAAGAAAAAAAAATTATTTTTAAAAAATACTAGAAAAAGGATAATTAAAAAAAAACGAAATTTAATCTATTATATAAAAAAATTATATTTGTCATCATAACAGAAAAAGATTTTCCCATTTATCAAATTTATATTATCCAAACACATATTTTATCATACAAAGTTGGATAATATTTTAAAAATTATTAGACCAACGAAAATTAAAAAACAAATGTTATAGTTAAAAGAAAAAAAAAATCATATCCTAATAGAATAAGGTTTCCTATTCATCAATTTATATTATCCAAACACATAATAAATTCAAAATAATGTAATAAATAAAATCTTATTAGTACATAGAATAAATTATGTAAACTAACTTTCCTATAACTATATGGAATCGGTTACCTAAACCCATATAAAAGAGAGTTAAGTTAGTCTGTTTTCTCTAATATACAAATTCATCAAAACAAATTCATCAAATCTTTTTTATTCTATTTCTCTAATTTAAAAATAATATTTTTGAAAATTTACGACGTGATACATATGATTTTTATAACTGACAAAACTGCGACATGTGTGTTTTTTTGTATATGAAAGTATTAAGATCTGTGACATGTGTTATGGAATAAAACAAATATAAAATTTAATATGTATAAGACCAACAAAAATATCAGAAAAACAGAAAATAAAACAATTAAAATGTAAAAAATGCTACATAAGAAAACAAAAAACAAGAAACAAATAATTTAAATTCGTTTGTTACATCTTTTAGGAAAAGAAAAAAAAACATATTCCCATTACAAAAAGGAAAAAAAAACAATATATAATAAGTTATAACATTCATGATTTAATTGTGTACTTTAAAAGGAAAGTTTATAATGGTTTGAGGAAAAAAAATTAAGAAAGAAATAATATAAATAGAAAACTAAAAAATAATTATCAAACAACTAACTAATATTTAAATATATATATATATATATAATGAACCGATATTCTAATTTTACATAGTTTATTTTTCAATTTTCTTTTATGTAAATATATTAAATAAATATTTCATTAATTGAAATCACTTGGATGGAACAATAAAAGTTTGATGAATTAATCGGTTGATCATATTTAGACATGTGTAAATCTTTCTACACTGGATAAAAATAAAAGTAAAACAAATTAATTCATTTTTCATATTATAAATTCAAAACGATATATCAATTACAATAAAAATATTACCAATCTTATTTTATTTAAATATTTGTTATCGGATTTTAAATATTTTTCTGTGATTTTATTACAAAATCTTAAAATAAACCCGCGTATACGCGGGGCTTAATCTAGTATATATATATATACCGGTTGAACCGGTTGGACCGTGTTGACCCATGACCCGAAGATCTTTCCGGTTCGTCCTCTGATCCGGTTTTAAAAACACTACAAAAAATTGTATGCATGTTGATATTTGAATGTTTACTGTACTGTTAGTTATATATACATCTTGATAGAATCATTAATGTTAGTGATTAAGCCAAAGCGTAAGTCAAAGTTCATAGCTCTAATGGTTCGATACTTTACTTATATCATTATTTTCAATTCAACAATCAATAATTGTTTTACTTCATACCAATCGACTGATGAGGAAACATTGTTTTGTATTCATCAAGTGATGAGATCAAATTCTCCAATGGAGCAACCAAAGGCAACCTCTCAGCCTATACCATTATCTGATGAACGTTTGACTAACATGTGAGTTGGTGGACGTGAAAGTGGGAAATTAACTGTAAGTTAAACTGAGATGGTCTCGCGTTTGCATATATCTCTTAAGTTAAAGAGCCAGTATGAGTCAAATCTAATCTTTATTCGGGTTTGGGTATACTGGGTCCAAGAGACCCAAATTATACCCGATATTTTACAGTTATGGTTTAGGCTTGGATATTTCGGGTTATTTATCTCCCGAAAACCCAAAAATATACCCAAAATCTCGGAAAATACCAAAAACCCCGAAAAATAAATGTAAATCCATTTTTGTTTTACAAAAAACAAATCAAAATACTGGAATTCACCTAGATCTACTCAATACATGTAAATTTGTAGCCTAATTTCATTCCGAAAACCAAAAAGGAATCCACTGTGCCTAGATCTGTAGGGAAATCACTAAAAACGCTAAAATGATGAAGATGATGATGTGATGACGAAAATTTGACATGCTTGGATAATAATAATGATGATGATGATGTACATATCCAGTAAAACTGTTCTGTTCATTTTCAGTAAATATCTCGCTTCACACATGCTATTTATGCATTTTGAGTATTGTGTGCTATTTATGCATAACCTCTTCTACGATTGCTAATATGACCATGAAAATTTGCCTATGCTTTGATAATAATGATGATGATGATGATGTGAATATTGAGTAAAACTGTTATGTTCATTTTCAGTACATACCTTACTTCACACATGCTATTTATGCATTTTGAGTATGATTTGATGAAGAGGATGCAAAAAAAACTATTTTACACATGCTATTTATGCATAATCTCTTATACGATTGTGGATTGCTAATATGACCATGAAAATGTGAATATGCTTTGATGAAGATGATGCATAATCAATTCATATGCTAACATTTTTTTTTTTTTTTTTTTACCAAATATCAACATTGTACTCCATTGCTCTCATGAACGCTGATTGACCTTTCAGGAATGGAAGGTGCTCTTCTAGTCATACCACTTGTACCAGACTCACAATGGGATGTTAATCCGGCCAATGATGGAAGGTTTGTATCGGATGGATTGCGACTCCAATATTGATGCGAACGTGTGGGAAGTTGCCTCTGCCTGTGAAACTCTTAGGCACATCAATATGATTTATGACATCCGATATGGGAGATGAAAAAATCTTTATGTAGAAGAAGCAGACCCCGCCAAAAACTCAAATCAAGTACCAATGGTTTAAGTAACAAAGTCTGGACGATGAAAACCTCAAGAAAGATCAAACACTTTATGTCGCAATCGATTGGAGGATGTCTTCCAGTGCGAAACTGTCAAGTAGACAGACATTGTGGAACTGAACGTCTTTGTCCTCGCTGTGAAGCTGAGCCCATAAACAATGAACCACTTATAGTTCGAATGCTCAGTTGCTTTGCAGGGTTGAAGTATATATGAGTTTCCATCTACTCTAGGGACCTTCTCGTGCGGTGCTCTTTAAAAAACGTGGATCACCTATTATGGTGTGCTGGAAGAAACAATCGCAAGATTTTCATTGATACTCTCGTACATGTGGAAAGCAAGGAACAAAAAAGTGTTTAACCAAAAGGGCATCATACCTTTGAACATGTGACAACTTGCAAGCGCTGAATCAGAAACTTGGTATCTAGGTCAAGCAGTGGAAATTTCCGTGGAAGAAGACGTTACTCCGAACTTTGTTAACATACCAACATAACTAGTGTAACGTTTCCATGATGCCAAACTGATGCTTCATGGGGCATAATAGACAGCTACTATTTTGACAGCAGTTTTTTCCTTGAAACGGAGAATGGAGAACAAATCCTTGGAGCATTACATCACACCAAGTTTCATTACCTTTACATGCTGAACTCGCAGTTTTGGTATGGGCTATAAAAGCAGCTCTGCAATTGGGGATTAGCTCACTTAACTTTAAAACAGATCACTTGCAGCTAGTAAAGCTCATTGACGTAGAAGAAGAATGGCCGTTTATGGCTACCGAATTAGATGAGTTATATTTTGTTAGTTCTTCTTATATTTTTTTGACCATTTTTTTATACCATGATTGTTAAATGTCTGTGATGATAATTTCTCAAAAGGAGTACAAGCACGAGGATCTATATTAATCTTAATTATACATTAGCTGTAAAAAAATATAATCTATATTTTAACAACTAAGCATTATTTTCCAAAAAAAATTGGTTATAAATCATAGATATTTATTCATGATGGTTACCAAATTTTTTTTCACTTGATTTATATCTTTTATCATACTATCACAAATTGTTAGAAATGTTACAATTAAGATTATGCCACGAACAATTCCGTCTTCTGATGTACCTCGAGCCTACTGCAAGTATACCTTCAATAATCTGCATAATTGACAATAAATTGCAATTATACAGATCTCCTAGTGTGGAAATATTAATGAACCCTTAAACAAACCACTCAGCCAAAGGAACTTCCACATGTTTGAATTTTTCCATAAATATAAGTACTAGTATCTATTAGATGTAAATAACTAAAATATTCAAAATTTATGCACAAAAATAAAATTTCACCAACATATGTCATAAATTTGTTTTGTCCTTTTGGTATTAAAGTCTGATAATGTTTCCAAAAACATCACCATAAATAGATTTGCAAACGTAATATAGTATTACCAAACCAAGAAAAAAAAACAAATTAATGGAGTTAAAGTAATTAAAGTGTTCACACGAGGAAAAAATGGATTTTGAGCTATCTAGCCAATATAGAAGAGAGAAAAAATAGTCGCCGTTTGTCCAGAAGACTCGCGTGCTGGTGGTGGACTGAGTTTCGTGTGCCTCTCTCAAATCGGGGAAATGGGAATAATCGCCATGGAACCTCCTCTACAACACGTGTAAATCCCTTTTGCTTCCTTCCCAATCAATAAACCTATTTTCTTATTCAGCTCACTCGGTGGAGACAGACAGGACACAAATCACAATCACACCATATTAAAAGGTTCCTTCTTTTTGCTTAACATTCCGTATCTGACGACGCTAGGTGTTGCTTTCCGGTGAATTCGTCATGGGTATGGGTTATGGCGTTTTGAGTTGAAAAAATCATTTTGTGCGAATTTGGGTATCAAGAGAGAGAGACGGTGTGTGTGTGTGAGAGAGGGGAAAGTGGTTGTCCGGTGACCGGAGCTGAGTTTTCAGGCGAGGAGAAATGGACGGCGAAGGGATCTCTGACGGTGTACCGGCTGAGAGGAAAGTGGAAACTAGAGTAAAGAAGAAAGGGAGAAAGGTGATTATGATTTGTAAACCCAATTGATAGTTGATTTCTTTTAGTCATTACTCTCTGGATTGGATTGTATCATTTTTGGTTTTAGGTCTTTTGTGGAATTTTGTAGTATCTTATTAATTGAAGTGCCAAATTGTGTCTCTTTCTCTCTGTCATGGAAAAAGGTGAAATCTTTTGTGCCTTCATGATGATTTTTTTCTCTTGCATGCATATGCTTAGCTAGTGAATCAATTCCCTGAACCATCTTATGTAATTTGATCAATGTTTTGTTTGAAAGATACAATTTTTACTCCGTTGGTTGTACTTGTGGATTGATTGAAGAGATCCTGATCTCTTATGTCGTCTAAAGTTTGTAAAGATTTGTGTCAGTTTGCTTCTTATGAAAAGGAATCATCTGCTTACTCTCTGCTGAGTTGTTTAGAGTAATAGACATTTGTGAAAATGAGTTTGGTTTGTAAAGTAACCTTCTAAACAACATTCTCTAGTGTAAACTATAGACCCTTTTAGCTGTAAAATCCTTTATTTACCTCTTGATTTATGCGATGACAAGTTTGAGAAGAACCACATTCATATTGTAAGTTCAGAATTGTTCTTGATAAGTTCACAAGACACACAAAATCTGATAGTATTTGTTGTTATTGTGTTCCTTGAAATCCTTCAGATTTGGACATTTTTACTTCTCCTAAAAGGAAAAGTCTTTATGTTTAAGTGATACAGGTTACAGTTGAGAAATCTGCAGCTGAAGGCTTACCTGAAGGATGGATCAAGAAGATCATAATAACAAACAGACCAGGCCGTAAAGATAGAAGAGATCCAGTTTGTGCTTCCTCTACTCTTTTCCAGTCTTTTTGACATTTTCTCCTCCTAACTCCTAAGCTCAGTTCTTGGAAATGTATTTTGTTCTGCAGTTCTTCATTGACCCTAAGAGTGAGTATATCTTTCAATCCTTCAAGGACGCATCACGGTATGTTGAGACTGGCAATCTTGGACATTATGCACGTAAACTGAAGGAAAGTGATATCGAAGATGATGATTCCGGAGTGAGTTTTACTTTCTCTTTTGGTTATTGTTTAGTTGAATGAAAAGATGTATAGGTAATTTTTCTGATCTATTACCATTTCAACGTTTTTTTTGTTCGGTTTTAGCTTCTTCTGGAGCCTGGAGATGACTTGTTGCAGAGAAATGGTAAAGGGATAAACTTATTATCATCACCTTCTGATGAACATTCTGAGAATTGTAAGTAGAAAATTCATTAAATGGTCAGGGTATTATGAGCATGGCTATTCAAGTGTGTAACGTTAAAATGTCAAAACATTTGATTATATTTTCAGGTAAAGTGAACATGGTTCTTGAGGATTTGGGGAACAAGGAAGAGGCGAAAGATGTTATCGAGAAGCAGCCTATAGCAAAACGTGTTACTAGGAGCCAAGCTAAAGCAACTAAGAAGGAAGAAGTAGATAATAATGTGAAATCCAGACTGAGGAGTGCAAGTTCGCAGAGTCCAGTGAAGAAGAAAGAGGTACGAGATTCTACTGAGAAACAGATCACAAGAAGTGAACCTATAGTGATGAAAAAGCAGAAGAAGAAGAAGAAGAAGAAGAAGAAGAATGAGTTGACTAATAGCGTAGCTCGAAGAACATCAAAACGATTAGCTGGTATTGAGCTTGAACCGACGCCTGAACTGAAGACAAGAGCCAAATCTCAGCGAATAGTACCACCTCTGAATCTTGATGATGGTACACCTGGAAAGTGTAAGCAGCCTGTGGATCTTGCTGTTACCGGTGGTCTGCAAAATACTGATATAATACCATTGAATGAGGAAGTAGCTAGTGAACAGTCATCTCCAAAACCAGACGTGTGTGTAGAAATGGAAGTGCAGATAGAGAAGATCTGTGAACCATTAGTAAGCAGAAGTGGCTTTGAAGGAGACAATAAGGAGATGAAAACGCCACTGGTGTGGGAACAGAATCCAGTTTTTCATCTTGACGGTTACAAGCACAAGGAAGAAATGTCGCCGGTGTCACCTTTGTCCGGCCAAACTTGTGCAACAAAGCGTGAGAAGACGACAGCAGCAACTGCGATCTCTCCTTTGAGCAGCAACGTCGGTAGAGGCAACAACAGCTCACAAGTGATGGAGAAGAATGCCAATACCAACTCCAACAGCTTCTCCAGTTCTTCTCCTTCCTCGTCTTCTGCATTTGACTCAACTCTTGCGGATCTTTGGAAAGATCCTTGCATCGCCTTCGCTATCAAAACACTGACCGGAGAAGAATCGCTGACCGCAGCAACAACCTCTTCTGACCCAAATAACAACAATCAGGCAAAGCAGAAAGAAGTCGCCGTTTTCTCTCCAGAGACGCTTGGAAACGTTAACACAGGCTCTGCATATACGAGCGAGGACATCTGGAAAGACCCGTGTATCGAGTTTGCTATCAAAACACTGACTGGCGCTATCCCGATCGAACCAGATGCTCGGTTTAAACCAAGAACATCAGCAGCGATGCAAGAACATGGAGGTAGGCAAAGAAAGTAGCAGTAAGCAGCTGTGGTCATTTGGTTCAACAATATAGTAGTAACATCAAGAACAAGAGCAAGACTGTAGGCAAGTCTGGAGATCTAAAGGTTACACAAGCTTTCTACAAGGACTAACAACAAGAATAACAAGAATGCAAGATCCATGTGCAATGCTTTAGCTTTGTTTCGGCATGTTCTGTTAATACATATATGTATGTATTAGTTTGTTTGTGTATCAACAGAACAGAACCTGTGAACTTGAAAAAGAAAGCCTTGATGATCTTGTAAACAGTAGATGATGCTTTTTCCTCTGTTCTTCGTTTTGGTTTATCAGATTTTGTTATACGGTACGGTTTCTTACCGGTTGAAATTTGATTTTTGAAGAGCAGAGATGATGATGACGTCATCTAAACCGAAAAGCCCGGGAACGGTTTGGTGCTTAGCGCCAAAACTTATGTAAATGTATAGAAGAAAGTAAATTTAGGGCGAAGAAGAAGGAAGGAATTAAGGATGGAGATTCGAGTGAAATGTGAGTGTGGAGAAGAAGAGTGTAGCGAGTGGACGATCGTAGAGCTCCAAGGAGTCGTCGAGACTCAATCTTCGTTCCAAGGCTCTCTTCAGAATCTCGAGATCGGTCGTCTCTGCCACACCAACTCCTCCCAGGTTTTTGTTTTTGTTTTTCTTTCAATTCGATTCGCTTTCTTCTCCAATCGGAACTGTTTTGTAATCGCCGGAGATTGATGATTGCAGGAAACATACACGTTCACGGTGGGTTACCACGAGCTCATAGGATCTAAGGTGATTCTGAAGAAGCCATTACTGGTTCTGAAGAAGCTTCAAAAGTGTACGGACGATTTGTCAGGGAAAGAAACGGAATTACAAGTTGTTGGGATTATACGAACAAAGATCTTGTTCAAGACCAGACCTAAGCCTCTCATGTCCGGTACATGCTCTCTCTTATGTTCTTGATTTGCTTTATGAAACTCTTAGCCTAAGTCTAAATTTGATCTGGTAATTCTGTCACTTTTCTCTTTGTTTCAGGAACAACTTAGGCTCCCAAAGTTCATAGTTAAACCTCTTGATTACTTCTTACTTCTTAAAACTATGTACTTTCTTTTGCAATGAGTTTTTTAGCCTCAAGAAAACTTGAATCATAAAACATTAGTAAAGATTCAAAGGTAGCAATAATAAATAGATTACTAGTCCTACCCATCGTCTAATTTGATGCTTAAACCAATAACAATGCAAGTTTATCTACAAATGTCTTTGAGAATTGAGTTTGTGAGTCCCTTTCATGTTTAGGAAGTTGGCACGGGATTGTAACCTGCACGAGCTCTTAATGTTTCGGTTCTCTTGCTTCTCTCCATCACACCAACCAGCCATTCTATACTCTCTTTGATCCCTCGTCTGCTCAAAGAAAAAACATTTTAAATTTCACTGCTTTGGGTTGTAACATTCCTGTGTCTAGCTAAAAGTTAAGATCTTGACTTACCCATCATATCCAGAAACTGCTTCGAACATGTACACCCTCTCGTCCAGTTTCTTTAGATCCAGGTATCTGTCCAGTTCCTCAGCCGATACAGCATTTGTGAGATCCTGAGATTCAAGACTTAGTCATCAGCAACAACATATCTTCTGTAGAATTTAATATAACAAACGAACTGTTCTCCTACTTGCTTGTTTGCCAAGATCAAAAGAGGGGCTCCTTGCAAATCCTCATGCCGCAGGGCTTTTTCTGTTCAAAAGCAGGTTTTGTAGTTTAGGTTTTAGCTTCATAAACGCTGTTTGGAGTTGCAAAAACTTACCTAGAGCAGATTTGGAATCTTCAAAGCGAGATGGGCAAGCTGCGTCGATCAAGTATATCAATGCGTGTGCTTCTTCATAATACTTCTCCCAAATCGACCTCAAACCAGGCTGCGCTGCCACAAGCAGAAAAAAAAAAAAAGACGATATTTATCTGATTAGAGAGTAGTTTACAAGAGGAAGAAACAAACTATATTTGCAAAGAACAAGGCTTAAACACATAAGTTTCTGAAAGAAGAGTGTAAGTCTATAAATAAAAGAAGAAGAGAGATCCAGCTTACCTGACCACCCAAGTCCCAAAACACGATTTTAGCATTAGAGACTTCAATACGGCCGATGTTTAGGCCAACAGTAGGAACAATACGATCATGTGGAAGACCTTCTGAGATAGAGTATATGGTCTTCAACTTCTCCAAAAACGTCTAAACACATCCAGCAATATGAGCAAGATATATATAATACATTAACATTAGAGATGAGTCTTGATTATTCTTCAAGTTACACAAATGGGAACAAGATGAAGAGTACCGTCTTGCCAGCTTTGTCGATACCAAGAATGAGGACATGGAACTCAGTCTTGCTGAACATGTAACTCCACAGTCCTTGCATGAGCGAAAACATCACTTCCTTTTTAGTTACTTTGATCTTCCCTTGGCTTTCACCGAACCAAAACAAAGAGAGAGTGAGAGCTTATCATCAGCATGGCTTCCTTATTATAATCTCAGCAAGCATAACAGAAGCAATTTAAAATCACAAGACTCTGTTCTAAAATATATTCCCTGAGATCTAAATTCATTAATTTCGTAGAATCCACAATGCAAGGAGACATCAAACTAGCAAAACCACACACATTCACGAAGGGTTAGATCACACTCAGTAGATCTTGGCATATCTAAGGGATCAAAGAAAAAAATCGAGGATCACTATCATCAGTTCGCATTACTCACAACACGAAGATCAAAATTAGCCTAGTGAGCGAAGAACTATATCAATACAAGCTCCTGGAAACTGATTAAAATCAGCAAATCGATTAATTTTCCGTCGAATTGGGAAGCAAAGAAGAAGAAGAAGATTCGAAAAAATCCTTACAGTTGTGAAGATCTCGACAAGGACAAAGAATGATCCAACTAAAATCCCTCTCCCGATTTGCACTCAAAACTGTGCTGGTCTTCGATTCGATCGTCCCCTTCTTCCTCAGCAAAAAAAACTAAATTCCAAATCTACCCTTACTCGGTCTTCACCTTTACGATCCCGCCACGTGTACCAAGGCGAAATCGAATGGTTTTGTATGAAAGTCAAAGTCAAACAAACGACGGACGGCTTCATTGCGCTGGGAGGGCAAATTCGAGATTCCCAAAGCCCCCAGTTACAGCGAGGAAAATCGAGAAGAAGATTGAAGATGACCGATCCAAAGAGGTAAGCGGAATTTTATTGTTTCGGAATTTGCGATGCTTGATGCAAGTTTATCTCTCGTTGATTTTTGAATTCGGTCTCTGTTGAAGCAAATTTAGGCTAGGGTTTGTTTCGGGAGATATGTTCTTCCTTGTAGATTACTGGCGATGAATTGGGAAACGTGATAAGCATCTTATACCAAGTGGTATTCTGAGTAGAAACCAGTTTGATTTGAAACTACTAACCATTAAATATGATGATTAGAAGATGTTTGCTTTGTGTTTTTTTTTGGATTCTAAATTTGATTACTGCTTCTTTCTTCTCCATCTTTTGGTTCATCATATTCAAAAGGATGTAGTCTCTGTATTTTAGTGGCGTGAGCTGCTTCATTCCCATTAAAGGTTTATGAATTTGACTTGTCACTTGTACTGTTTTGTATATTTCTTTGGGAAGTTATCAGATTGGGCTATGAAGTATGTTTCTACTTCTCTGATTTCTGTTTCAGATATTTCTCTATAAGGATATGGAAAAAGGGAGGTCTTGTTGTTAAAATGTTCATATTTCTGCAGATTTGTTCACTAACGTTATTGGCTTCTTTTTGTAAAGAGAGATGACTTTTGTGTAATGTAGTTTAGTTTTTCCATGGGATTTTTCTTTTTCCATCAGTCTCTCGTGTGCACCAGTAAGGATGTTTATTTTTTTATGGCAGGGGGCGTGTACAATGGGATGAAGCTAATATAGAGGAAATCGAATCAAACAAACCTGTGAGGCAGAAGATTACTGAGCCAAAGACACCGTACCATCCGATGATTGATGATGATGATGGTTTGTCTATCTACTCTTTTAGTTTGGTTTCTGATATTTTCTAATTCGTGGAAAGATGATTAAAATGTACATTTTTGCTTTGATTGATTGTGTACCAGGCTCTCTGTCTCCTAGAGGAAGAACGTTTGACGAATGCGTTGATGAGATGGAACGTGAGGAAGAAGTGAGGAACGTTCTGAACGATGAAGCGGCAGCTTCTTCCAGTAGAAATACTCGTCAGGGGTCTGCTTCTGGTGGCTGGAGCTCGTCTGAGGATGAAGAAGATCCCATGGATCAAGATGATCAAGGTCCTCCTCAAAACTCAAAACCAAATAAAATATTTTTATTTTGGTTCTTTTGTTTGATGCTCATCATCTGCATATGTTTCTTTCTTCCTTTTGCAGGTCCCAAAGGTGGGAAAAATTCACGTTTCAACGAACACAGAAGAGTGCATTACGATGAGTTTCGGAAGGTGAAGGAGCTGAGATCGTCGGGATCCTTCTATGAAGAAGAAGAGGAAGAAGACGACGGCGCGAAAGGCGGTAAATCGGAGGCAACGACCTCACGGCACACTAAAGGCGTAAACAAAGAGGTAGATGCATCAGCCACCAAGTCATCTTCTTCCTCGAGTTGATATGATGAGAGACTAGACTCTGTTTCAGTTATATGTGTACTCTTTGTCCAGTTCTTACAGAGCTGTTAAATCTTTCAGAAAAGTAAACAAAACAAAAAGGGAAAAACCACCAATATTTCAGATATTAAGTCATTTTGTTTTTATCATTTTCAATGCAATTGATTACAATCACTTTTCTTCTTCAATGTTCAAATGTTATCAAAATCTGATTGTTTTGTTTGTCTTTTTGATGAGTTATGTACGACTGTGTTGTTTCTTTCTATAATCTTTAAGATTTCTGCAGTAATTAAATAAAGGTTTATGATTTTTTTTTTGTTTTCACATCCTTCTCTTATAAGTTATAAATGTGGTTCAAATTTCACGAGTGAAGATGTTACATAATAGAGTCAAATGTGATCGTTAAAAAAAAAACACAAATGGCGAGAGAGAAGAGTCAGGAGATGGAGAAGCTATCATCTCAAATCTGCAACCAAATCTCCTCCGTCTTCTCTAAGACTACTGATCCATATCCACCACCGTTAGACCTTCTCGTGACGGAGCTAGCCGGCGTCTCCCGCCGCAGCGCTCGTGTATTCCTCCACGGTGTCGGTCGCGAAGGTCTCATGCTAAAAGCCTTCGCGATGCGTCTCTTCCACCTCGGTCTCTCCGCTCACCTCGTCTCCGATGTGACCACACCTCCGATCTATTCCTCCGATCTCCTCATCGCCTCGGCCGGTCCCGGCGGATTCTCCACCGTGGACGCGATTTGCTCCGTCGCTAAATCGTCCGGCGCTAAGGTTCTCCTTCTCACGGCTCAGCCGGAGACGGGGTCATGTGTGAGACACGCGACGGCTGTGTGCTATGTACCTGCACAGACCATGGCGAGTGATGGCGGCGGCGGCGGAGATGCGACGGCGGCGAAGGAAGGGAGAGAGTTGTTGCCGATGGGGAGTGTGTACGAAGGAGCGTTGTTTGTGTTGTTCGAGATGGTTGTTTACAAATTGGGTGAGGCTTTGGGTGAGTCTCCCGAGTCCGTTCGTTCTCGTCACACCAATCTCGAGTGACGTTAGCACGTTGCGTTGTTTAAGTAATCCCGTTGAGAAATGCTTGCTGTTTGTTTTAGTTTGGATCTTGCCTTGTAATTCACGAATAGTTACCAGTTCACCACCATTTTTACTCGTACTGTTATTTTACCACACTATTCTGTACTGTTTCATATGTCTAATTGGAATCATAAAATGAAATGAATTATGTGGCTTATTTCGACAACCAAAAAAAATAAAAAAATCATGCGAAAGCATCTCAAAGATCATATTAAATATGATTATATGAAAAATGAGATTTTCTACCGTTTGATCAAGTTAAACTAATCTTTTGGAAGTAAAATAATGTGAATTAAGTTCCACTTAACTGTTTTTGAGATAGATCAAATTAACAAACTAGAAAAATATGTAGCCTTTGGTAAAAATATGTCTGCTAAAAAACATATCTATACATAGTTGAAAGACTCTTGTACAAATAGACATTGTAAATGTTCCGAAACTCGCACCGGATATATGTTTAGAAACTATTATGTTGAAAGACTCTCTCTCTCTTGCGGTTTTTCATTAGGTAGGTTTTTTGCTTATACACTGATGATACTACCTTGTTCTTTTTTTTTGACCCAAAACTACTACTACTACTACCTTGTTCTTTTGAGCATGAAACATGAACCTTGTTGATTCTGATCTTATTCTCCAAGTCTATACCACAAGTGACTTTGTTATAATTTTTTAACCTCTCCTCTGTTCTTTCAGCTTTACCCAAGTTCATAGTGTCGCCACAATTTTGCATTGCCGTCTTTCACATTACATTTTATTTTATGTTTTCAGTCATGCCATTGTCTTAATATAATGAACCAGTCATCGGTGACTCTGTCGTTATACCTCATTTTCTTTAGTTTGAGTTAACTACTAATTAACTATGAGAATGTTGCTGTCACCTATAGAATAATCACGAATCTTGACCTATTTTTTAATAAGGAAAGCGAGCTGCTTCATTTGTTCACTGTAGTAAATGTATGAACATCCCCGCGTATACCGTATAAGAACTAAAGAACTGAAGAAGCAGAGTGCGTCAATGGGATATCAATTGACGCCATATAATCATAGTCATCTATGATCTATCTCCAGGCATGTTTATAACTGATTTTTTTTTTTTTTTTTTTTTTTTTTTTTTTTTTTTATTATTGATAAAAACGACAACCTGATAAACCTGATTTTTTTTTTGTCCAAGCTTCTACCACTAGTTATGACTTATGACCAATATATGTAATACTTATAGACAATTTATTGGGACAGAAATTTGAATGTAGGCGGCAATGAAAATGAGAAACACAAACACAAAACATGTCTCGTATACAAATGAAACAACAGTCCACATAACATGAGACTACACTTCGAAGCAAGCAGTGATAAGCTTTGCCCTTGATGATTTATTTTGGAAGCAAAAGGAAATTGAACGTAATCATACACACATGTCATGTCCTCACACCACATAACCAAAACAAAAGTGATCACAGCAATACGTAATTATATGATATGAGGTTATTTGAAACCTCATTTCTTCTTGTAGCAATGGCAGTGGGTGTCGCTTCCCTCAACAACAGCCCAACAGACTGGAGGACTCCCAAATTTGGCTACGCAACAGGTACAACAGTCAGCATTTGTACCTGTGAACGGCGCCGGGCCACACTCCCCCCAGAAAACACGGTCAACAAGGTTAGGGCATCCACCAACACCGCAGGTTTGAGCCTCACTCTTGAGGATTCCTTAAGGTTGACATATTCATCAAAGTCATTATAAGCACAAGATAACCAAAAGACACATTAACTGAAAACTGTAATAAAGATTAAGTTGGTTGAAGTAATACCAGTTGAAGCCATCACGAGGGCAAGCAAGAGAACAGTGTAGCTGATGGAGTTGAGGTTTTTAGCCATTTTTTTTTTCTTTGCTTTTGCTAAAACCTGTTTTTCTCTTTTCCTTTCAATAAACCTAAACTTTGATGATTCAAATCCATCGGTGTGGATATCTATTTATAGTCGAAAGTTTGCAACTTTTTCATACTTGTTTAATCCTTCTCGTTTCTTTGTTGTGTTGCCAAGTTCATAATGTCGCCACAATTATGCATTGCCGTCTTTTTCATTACATTTTGTTTTCCAAGCCTATCCTTTTTCTAACCATGCCCTTAAATTTATTTTATATATATATATATATATGGCAATGGCATGCCTATAACAAAAACGATTTTGTGTCATTAGACTCATTACTTCATCAATAAAGTTTAGAATTTTTTTTCTTAAATATAAAAGATTGCAGCAATCATGTCGACACTATAGCATCGATTGTTTTCAGCATCTCCATTCATACTGTAGTAAACTATTATAATCTTTCACCAAACTAGCCAAAATGAGATAAAAAGTAACCATATGTACGTAAGGTTTAATAAAGGTTATGTATTCTGTTGTTGGTACTCCCATAATGTTACTCTTAATGGGAAATTCATTGCATTTGTGTCTACAGATGCAGAGACTGATAACCCTCGAACCCAACTATAAATTCTGGAATTGATCTTTTGAGAGAATGAGAGTCTTTCCGAATATATCAAAGACACCTGAAATATTAGATAGAAGAAAACACACATGAAAGTTAGGATTTTAACTTATGCATTTGCCTTAGACTACCTGAAATATTAGTATGTAACGATCTTTGTACAATATATTGTTATCAAGTTAAACTACCGAAAGAAATCCCACAATGTGTTTCACACCATGGCCCTGTTCGTTTGTGCATTTGGATACAATATCAAGATGCAACATCTAGGTACACTTTCAGATGCAGCATTTAGGTATTATTCGTTTTCAAAATAGCTTTTGCATTTAGAAACATGTGTTTTTAATTTTTTTTTTATTTGTACTTAAATTAGTTGTATAAAAAAAGAACTTTAAAAATTAAAAGAAAAATATACATTTGGCGAGAAAACTCGGAATTTATAGTATTGGTGAAAAAACGCGATTTACAAAATAAAAATCGGTTTTGGCAAAAATAGTGTCTACAGTTTTGACGATTTTGGCAAAAAAATTACAGTTTTTATGGTTTTAATGGAAACTTGTTGCCGTCCATTGGGTGTCATCGAGGACATAACCCTTACGTACATATGCTTTTTTTTTTTTTTTTTGATAAATACATATTCTTACTTGTTAAATCATCTTGGCTAGTTCTGTGACAAATTAAAATAGTAATACTGTATGAATCGAGATGCTCAAAACAAACGATATAGTGTCGCCATGATTGCTACAATATTTTATAAATAAAGAAAAAACCTAACATTAGTAACGAGACCAAATCGTTTTCCTCTTTGGATTAAAAAAAAAACTAAAAAAAACTTGCTTACTCTAACAATGCCAACAAGGCAACAACAATAATATTTTTTTAAACTAAAAAAAAAAAAATATAATTAGTAACAAAGAGAAAGACAGCAACAACTTTCCATTTGTTGATTATCTATGGCAAGTACATGATTAGAAAAAGGTTAGACTTTCAAAACAAAATGTAATGAAAAAAATGGCATTGCACAATTGTGGCGACATTATGAACTTGGCAACACTTCTAAAAATAGAGGAGGGATTATACAAGTATAACATAGTTACAAATTTTTGACTATAAATGGATATCCACACCTATCGATTTGTATCATCAAAGTTTAAGTTTACTGAAAGGAAAACAAAAATAAAATAGGTTGTAGCAAAAGCAAAGCAAAAAGAAAAGAAATGGCTAAGAACCTCAACTCCATCAGCTTTACTGTTTGCTTGCTTGTCCTCGTGATGGCTTCAACTGGTATTAATCCAATAAAGTTAATCTTTATCGTAGTTTTCAGCTTTTAATTATCTTCTGCATATGATATTGATGGATATGTCAACTTTTAGGAATCCTCAAGAGCGAGGCTCAAACCTGCGGTGTCGGTGGATGCCCTAACCTTGTTGACCGTGTTTTCTGGGGCGAGTGTGGTCCGGCGCCGTTCACAGGTACAAATGCTGAATGTTGTGCATGTTGTGTAACCAAATTTGGGAGTCCTCCAGTATGTTGGGCTGTTGTTGAGGGAAGCGATACCCACTGCCATTGCTACAAAAAGAAATGAGGTCTGAAATAACCTCACATACATAATTACGTACTGCTGTGATCACTTTTGTTTTTATTATGTGGTGTGAGGACATGACATGTGTGTATGTTTATGTTCAAGTTTCTTTTGCTTCCAAATAAAACATCAAGGGCAAAGCTTATCACTGCTTGCCTCCAACTGTAAACTCATGTTATGTGGTCTTTTGTTTCAATTCGTATACTAAACACATTTTGTGTTTGTGCTTCTCATTTTCGTTCCGGCCTTAATTCAGATTTCTGTCCCAAGAAATTATATAAATATTGGTCATATTCTGTTGTATAAACTTGAGCGGTCAAATCAGTTTTAAACATGCATGAATATTTTGAGCTCTCGGAAGAAAATTAGTACATGATTATATGTAATTTATGTTTGGATTGTCAACGTTTATAAGTTCAAGTCGCAATTAAAAGCGATTTGTTGTGGTGGTAATTTGTCTTCGCACACCCAACAACATTGGCAACATATACACAAGTGGAAACTAGAAAAGTACTACACGAAACAGTAAAATCCGAAAAGAAGGGTTTGTTGATCATCCAATGGACAGCTTTACGTTTCCTTGTTCTGAATATACCTTCCTTACTGTAACATGTCGGATCCAGTAACATTTTTTTTTACTCTTGGTAGTTAGATGACAGTTATTCAACTTTTCTCACTGAAAGTATTGCACACTAATCAGTGGCGGAAATAGCCACAGATTTTACATGGGTCAATGACATAATTTTATAGCATTTTATCAAATTTTTCAACTAAATGTTCATGTAAAATTTTATTTTTTTCTAAATTTGACATGGGTCAGTTGACCCACCTGGTAACAAGCTAGCTCCGCCACTGACACTAATGTTAATATTTTTTAAGCTTTTTGCTGGAT